GAGTATCATGGTCGTTACGTCACCCTCCACCTCAGTAAGGAATTTAGGCATTTGGTTTGATTCACACTTGACATTTGATAAGCATATTTCTGAAGTTTGTAAGAATGCATTTTACTATCTGTTTAATATCTGGCATATCCGTAAATACTTAACTCGTGGTTGTACAGAAAAAAAGTTCATGACTTCGTGACTAGCAGGTTATTATTGTAACAGCTTATTCTTTGGTTTGCCTGACACTCAGATTAACAAATTGCAAAGGGTTCAGAATGCTTGTGATAGATTAATCTGTAATTCCTCCAGATATTCTCGATGCAGTCCATTGTTACTTGATTTACATTGGTAACCCATTCGACAAAGAATAGCATTTAAAATTCTTTTAACAACCTATAAAGCCATTAATGGTATAGCACCAATGTACATTCAGGAGCTCATAGCCATGAAATCGCTCTCTAAAACAACCTATTGTCTCAGGAGTTCGCAAGACCACACATTGTTGGCTTACCCTTCAAGAACATCAAAGGCTACCCTCGGTGATCGGGCATTTGTGAACGCTGCTCCTACACTATGGAACAATCTCCCTCCTTGTATCAGACAATCTTCTTCACTTAATGTATTTAAGTCCAGGTTAAAAACACATTTATTTCACAATTAAGTATTTCTAGTATTTCTAGTATTTTTCTGCATTTCTGTTTGTTTTTTGTAATGCGCAGAAGAGTATATCCATATAGGTTTTGCGCAATATAAATGTCCTTTATTATTATTATTATTATTATAAGCGGATTAAATACCCCTTATTGTTGGGTCGCAGATGCTGGACCTGCAATTATTAGGCATGAACACAATAGATCACCTGAAGTGAGTGGGGTTCATACTGATGTTCCCCAATACCGATGTTCCCCAATACCGATGTTCCCCAATACCGATATTCTCCGAAACCCTTACCCTAACCCTAACCCAACCCCAACCCTATAATATATAATCCTAAGGATTTCGGAAAACATAGGTATTGGAAAACATCGGGTAGACCCCAGTGGGTGGGTGCATTGGCCAGAGTCTGGCCAGTTGCTCGGCCGGTTTGAAGAGGATTAAACTAACAGGCCAAACTATACGGGCTGGCCTGCACTTAAACCGGCCGGTGATGGAAGCTAAGCCTAAATGGGCAGATGATAAGATTTTAGGTCAATAGGGTTAAAAAAAAAAAAACAAGACGACAAAATTTGTAATGAATTTCCTTTTTCTCAGACAATTTTTGTTTTAGGTTTCACGGATAGTTTAACAATTTTATCATTTAAATTTCGTAGAAAGATACTTTACTTTTGTTCCAGAACTCCATTGTCGTTGGACTCCATTGTTAATTTCGATTTGGAATTTTCACCAACATATCTCATATATGAAAAAGTATATTCATATGGTCACAGAAATATGCACGAAATTTGAGAAATGTGAGACGTCATCATGACGTCAACAAAATGCAAATGAAAGGAAAACACATACCTATAGGGCGGGTCCGATTGTCATGTAACTTGATTAGTCCAGGTGTCAAACCCCAATTTGGAGCTGGACCGTGAATTAGGGTCCAACACAAAATGTTTTTGCATTTTCTTGTCATTGGGACCTTGTAGATCAATACTTCGGCGGGTGCCACCTTGGCACCCTTGAGCATTTTTTTAAACAATTGATATGCAAATTTGCTACTTCCATAAGGTAAAATGTAGGTTTTTCTATATGTGCAGGATTTCGTCCAAATTTATCAATCGAGGTGTAAAGACCATATTATGCATACATTATGTACAGTATCATTAAATAAATGGCTTTAATGAATTTGTTTACCCTAATATCATTGGTGTAGACACCTCGTTAGGCCAAAAAAAAAAAGCCTCCGGTTTCTGGTATGGAGCTTGCCCCAAAAGTGGTGCGGCGACGCGGCTGTTTTGGGGTTTTTTTTTACCTTTTTTTTTTTTTTTTGGCTTCAAATGTCGGCTGATGACTGCAAATGGTGCCCGACTAAACTTAGTGCAAATATATGGGAGTCCAGAGAGGCCACATAAAGCTTATTCTCGATCATAGCCCCATCTAAAAACACGTTAAAATTGTGCAGCAGCAGGATTCCAGTCAAACCAGTGAGTTTGGCGGTTTTGAGACATCATCTTGTATTGAAAAAAAAAACTTTTTCATTTTGCCGACGCGCATGGCTACGGCGACGCGCGCGCATACCAGAAACCGGAGCCTTTTTTGGGGGGGCCTTAGCTACGATTGGACAAATTCCGTATATTTTACCTTATGGCGGAAGCTAATTTGCATAATAATCGTTTTCAATAAAATGCTCAAGGGTGCCCAGGTACAGGTGGCACCAGTCGGAATATTGATCTACAAGAAAATGCAAAAACATTTTGTGCGGACCCTAATTCACACTTCTGTGTTCAACCCACGGACTAAGTTCAATATCTACGGAACAAAACGTCCGATCTCGATAATACTGTATATTCCTTTACAAAATGAAGGAAAATCCTTTACCGTTCATAACATATGATTCCCCCCCCCCCAAACTGGAACAGCTCTTTTTTTGTTAACCACAATCTTTACGTTTCTTTTGTATTTAAATAACTAACATTGGGTGCATTCGATTGCTTACACATTTCGATTAAAGATGGCGGGAACTTGAATACAAAGTGAGTACAGTGGAGAGATTTAGGACACAAATATTTCCCATATTTAATGGTATTCAAATGGATGAACATATTATCGTTGATAATTCAGAGCAAATTTTCACGACAGTGTGCCTGGTGTGTATGCATTTTAAAATCTCGCCCCGCCACAATTTTGAACTGAATTTTCAAAGCGTGCCTAGCTAGGCGAATGAATACGCCGCACTCAATGCATGTGACTGGGGTCTACTCAAGCATAATTTGCTGCAACGAAAGGATCTGTATAACATTATGCCAACATCCTGTCAATAAAAATGCGAAATCCTGTTTCCGCGGAGGAACATCTGACTTACACAATGCTGCATTGTTTTTGTTTTACAAATTTGAAAAGCAGTTATATTCGGTATAAGCAGTATACAAACAACAGCGGTAATCTCAAACCAACTTGAGCAGGGTTGGTAATTGGTTGCAATATACTGTCTGTGTTTTTTTTTTAAGTTTTCTTAGCGTGCAGCAATTTCGTATTTCGATGTGAATAGTCCAAAAGGTTTTGAGAATCTGCAAAAGTATTTATCTTTGGCTATTTAAGTTAGAAGTCATTGCAATACGAAATTTCACTTTCTTAAAATCTCGAAAAAAATGTTCCATTCCTTTTTTATTTACATTTTGCTGCTTTATGTAAAGTCCTTTTATATAGCTCAATGGGAAAATGAGCTTGTCACAAAAAAAGACAAAAGAAGAGACACACTAAATGGAAAGATGTAAATTTCTCACCTCTTTTTCTCCTCTTGGCAGCCTTTATACGGCATCGTCAGAGACCTCTCGTTATGATCCAGCCTCCCAGGTGCCAGGTTATGACACCTGCGATAGATTTACTGGCAGTATCCGAGGAGACTGGTGCGAGTCTCGTTGCCAATAGCAACTGCTTGTCTGTTGCTCTTGGCAACCGTTCTATCCGCACTCTCATAATAAATGGATATTGACAATAAACTTGATAATTCGACGCATGGATAAATCAGTAGGTACACTAAAAACTTGCCTGGGTTAATTTTACCCAAGAAAGGGTGAAAACTGCAACTACCCAAACTTGAGTTGTTCTTTTACCTAGAATTTATGTTAAATTCAACCAAAAGTTGTAGTTATACAAGGCCAAATTAAATTTGGTCTTGAATGACCACAAGTTTTGGTTGAATTGAGCAGAAATTCTAACCCAAACCTATTGTTTATAGAACAACCCAAGTTTGGGTAGTTGCAGTTTTCACCCTGTCTTGGGTAAAATTAACCCGGGCAATTTTTCAGTGTGTGTTGTGAAGGAGGCTAACTATATATGAGTAACCGCATGCTTGGAGTTGCAATACGCCCTCTTGAGATATCAGTCAAACAATTCCTGGAATGCTGGGGATGAAGTTAGGATTAAACCTGAATAGGCTGGCGCGGACATCTGGGACTTTTTACATTGGCTGATCTAGCCCCGGACCCATTTACTTGAAACTCAATGGGTCTGGAGTACTGTTGGCAACACATGGCAACCGATGAAAACTTGTGTTCAAATGAATAGATGTTTTCACCGGCTGATGTAATCCTGCCAACGATAGCGCAAATGTCCAGTCCCAAACTGGGACCCCGAGTGCTGAAAAACATGCAAAACAAAATCAGGCCATCTTTACTCACTCTTTAGCCGACAAAATTCTCCAAAATGTTCATGAGACAAAGACGAGTTCCTCAGTATTTCACCAACCAAGTTTGAAGTCTCAATTCCATTTTTAAAGGAGACTAATTCGCTTCAATATTTTGCAACTTAGAGGGAAGTAAAGTGATATCAATATGAGGCCAAAGACTAGACTTGTGCATGTCGAACTATGGTCCAACTGTTTGAAAAGACCGACCTCTTCATTTGTCTGGTGGCTGACTAGTGACTATGGAGAAGTGTGTCGAAATAGAGACCAGTACCAGACGGTGGATTTTTGGCACAGTTGATTGATGCAGTACTGAAGGGGTATTGGCACTGATCTTTATTATACTGACTACATGTATACTGTTATACTGACTCTACTATACTGTACTCAGCATAATAGAGATTAGTGGGTATATGACTGGTTGTTTCAGGTGCCAGTTTATTTTCTTGTTTTGCATGTTCTCAATACCTTAAGTTTTGGAACTCTCTCTCATACACAGTATTGAGAGTCCAATATTTTCGGACTAGTCCAGTCCTATTGGTCTCCCTGCATAATGTGTCAAAACATTCCTACCCCCGGGAAATTGATCTGGCGATGCGCTTGACTGCCTGCTCGGGCTGGGGATAACTACCGTAGTCACCATCAGCGTTAAAAGGGCAGAACACCTCTGTTCGTGCAAAGCCTCTGATATCCATCTAAACCGCCACTGTAAGGGACCACCTCAACAGAGTAGTAAACAAAAAGCAATGCAAAAAAAAAAGAGAACAAAAAATTGACAACTGAGAATTTAAAAACCATTAACAACTCTTTCACTTTTGTTATTAGGACCGGGTTAGGCCTCCATAATTCATCCTATTAAAACATTTATAAGTATAACATATTCCATTTCGGCATTCAACATATACAAAAATAAAGTCATATATTTCTTTTAAATTTTTTAATTTACCGTTAAATTTTAACGGTAAATTTTATCTTAATTTTTAAAAACATATAAGATATTCCTGATTTTCTTTTTGGAAGACTTAATAATTCTAGACATGCTTTCTTCTCGAAAGCCGCGTCCAAATTACTTGGCAACGGCCGGCATTAACACATACGTCAACAGGTATATGTATTCAGCCACTCCCCTTTAGCCTTTTTGGGAAAATGGGGGATACAACAGAGAGGGCACCCCAAACAAGACATTTTGTTCACCATGTGTCAAAAAGGACAGTACAAGGGTGGATCCAGGTTTGCCTCAACAGGGGGTTTAGCTGTCGAGGAAGGGGGGGGGGGGGGTAAGCAGGCATGTTTTGTTTCTCTCTGCATGATGATCCTATTTTCTGCGGACAAGAAGGGGCGGAGGACCGGGGGGGGGGGCAATTTAGACCACCTAACCCCGGTTGATCTGACAATGGAAGTTTTATTCCCGGCCGCGTATTTTTTTTCCCAGGAGGGTAAGGGCCAATTAATATGTCATAAATAATTCAGTTTTTCCTTTGTGTCATTGCAAGACAAAGGTTCTCGTTCTCTTTTTTCATTAAATTAAAATTATCTCAATGATATATTTGGAGAGGAAAAACAGTCGATGAAAATGAGCAGCGACGACGTGGATTCGAACCAGGGATCTTTGTATCCACAGCTCATCTCAATATCCACTAGGCTACTTTGTGGTATCTCGACGACAACCGTCCTGATGCTTTAATGTAACTGGTTGACGAAATAACAACAGTGCTGTTGATTTCATTGTTCTGTTGTCACGAATAAACATAATTTTCCCATCAAAACTACTGAATTATTCATGATTTGCCCTAACCTCCCTAGGATTAAAGTTATGCCTCCCAGCCATCCTTTCTCTGTAGTATCATTTACATCTTTACAAGGTGTCCATTTTGTCCTCATTGATGCTGCCCCTGTCCTCGTCCGCAGGGACATACTGAACCCCTTCACTGGGCCGCTGTTTGTCCCTATGGATTGTGATTTCCAGAACACTGTAGAGAACGACGACGACCAGCAGCGCCGCCATGGTAACAGCGATCACGTGACCAGCACAGACAGCTTGCGGGACACCCAAGATGGCGACTGCGGCGAAACCGAAGGATTGCCAGAAGCAGAGATTGCCAAATGCAGCCTCTTTCTGGTCAGGGAACAAAAGTCCCAAAAGCGCTGGTTCAGATTAAGAGAGAGAAAAAAGTAAATGGTTAGAACCTATGATAATTCAATTATTGAACAATAGAATCTGCACAATACTATTGCCAATTATGTAGGTTTATACTTATTCTTAATTTTATCATATTTTCCTGGGGCTTGTACTCTAATTCACCAGAATCAACACAAGTGTTATAAACCATGAAACTTTACAGTGGCGTGGCTGTACTTTGCTGCAAAATCCCTAAGCTTTTTAAGTATCTAGAAGGATTACTATTACTAGTTAAAGTTGCACACCCCATGCTCTTAAACAAAAGAATTGTTTTCTAACGAATTTTCAATTTATATGTTTTGTTAAAAAAAAAAACTTTATTCAGATTTGGGCGTCTGCAACCTCCAATTCAAGAACATAACATCGGTGGATTGGTTTTCGTTTGATGTCTCATTCAAAGTGGATAACTTTCTTAAAGAAAAACACGTCTATTTTTCGAGGAAAAACTCGAAAATGGCACGGGGAATGTATCTTTAACTATGACCTTTTTGAAGGAGACTGTGTCTTTTGGACATTATTTATGATATATGCTTGCTAATGTAAAAACAGTTCGCCGGGAATCCCCCCGTGAGAAAAATCACGAATCTGACGCGACTGATGTATCTTACTTGTAGCAACAGTTGGAATAATTGCCCTGGAGAACCCGAGCCCTGAAGCCATGGCGACGAGGTGCCAAAGTTTACCGCCCTCTGGAGGCCACAAACTCATACCAATCAGCAGGAGGAGATTAACACCGCAGCCAGCGAAGAAGACCGGTGGACGGCCCGTGTATTTGATCAGCCGCCCTATCACGGGCGAGACTATCACCGCGGTGAGATATAGGGACATCGCAACGTAGCCCACGGACTCAATGCCTTGTGTGCAGCCAACAAAATACTGAAATTGGGAAACGATACAGAGTGAAAATTTTAAAAATGAGTCGAATTATTTCAGTGTTTTGGATTTGTTCCCTAGCCTTGGCTGTAGCTCAGAGTTTTGTTTTCTCTTTCGCCTTTCTATGAGCATGTATTATTCAGTTGAATATACATTGAAACACATCCGGGCAGCGAAAATAGGAACCATGACAGGGTATACGAATTGCTAATTTTTATGCTTTTACTTTGTGTAATCTGAAAAGTGAAATTCTAACACAATAACAAAAATTATGGTATTGTTTTCGTTTCCTAACTGGATATTTCAATGTCATTGAAGTTAATGATGCATGCATGACTAAGGTGAGGATTCGTACCCGACTAAAACAAATATCAATTTCGCATACAAGCTGCGAATTGTCTACAATAAATGGAAAAAATTACATGCAGACTTGGCATACGACGGCTGCCGTATTGATGGATTGGCCCGGCTGCAATGCCCACAAAAGCACAAACAATAAGTTACAAACCGAATACAATTTTTTGAACTGCAAGAGACAAGAATAGGAATAAAGGCTAAGAGAATGAAACTGAGCAAGATGGATGATGATTGGTGGTTTAATAGTGTTGTATGTACCTTTGTGAAATGGCCGGAGGCAAAAGCCATGTCAATGCCAATGTAGAAAAGTATAGGAATCAACAGCAGCATCTGGGGCTGTCTCATCAGACGAAAAGCTGACATTATGCCGTGGATGAGCTCCTTGGTTGTCAAGGAAACCGCCTCTTCCCCGTTGGTGATTCTGGGAGATTTTGGAGGCACTCGCTCAAGGAAGATTAAGGCAATGATTGCCGCAAGCAGCCCAAAGCCGAGATATATGGAGATGAGTATAATGCGTTTCCCTGGTTCAGGTGGAAGGAGGGCTCCAGTGTTGTTGGCAGCGCCACTACTTCCTAAAAAAAAAAAGGAAAAAGAAGGGCGATGCTCGAGAAACCTTGTCTACAATGAAACTTTTAAAATACAACAAAGAAATAAATGCAGGTACATGCAGACTTTGCAGACGGCAGCCGGGCGGAAAGGCGATTGGAGAACCTTGGAGATGCAAAATGCGATACTTTTTGTGTAGCAACTCTGCAAGTTTGCTGTTGTAAGGAGCTCCAAACCAATCATAAGATAATGCTTACAATTATTCATTGTCCTTCCTAACAGAGTTTTATTTTGTTGTAATTTGTTCCAATTCATTGTCGTACCCTGAGGTCATCCAGAATTTTCTGCATTTGTATTTAGCTTACTTTTAATATAGTTAACACTTTCCCACTTTCCCCTTTCCTATAATTTATCACTTTGAAGGGCTCCACAATAATTATAATTCCCGCCATTTGATACGGATGTTCTTCCAACACCAATTTATGTAAATTCAGCAGTACATGCTGCAATATAGTGCTAGTAACTGGGGGAATATAGAAAGTGATGACGCGTATAATGTGTACTAATTGAACAGCGCCCGCTGAAGTCAGGTGGCGTCAAGCTCCCCTGTCCCTTCCCCTTCTTCCACGAATATTGAAAATAAATCGGAAAGATTCCTGTATCTGGCCATCAGTAATGTTTCCCTTAAATGACATATCAGCCATCAGAAAGTGATAGGCCTATTATGTCCTAAAAGTCAAAATTAGCAGGGACAAATTTTGAATATTTACCGAGAAAACACTTAGAAATTTTCAGACCAGTCCCATAGGGTTTGTGCACAGGCTGACAAGTGATGGCTAGATACGGGAATCTTTCGAATAAATCGCCGATGCTGAGCAGTGGAATGTTTCTCATGCCTCCATGACATATTGGACATGCCATGACTAACAATATCAAAACAATTACATGGGCCAATGTTGCACTCAAAAGATATACGTAGTAAAACGGCGATAGGAATGATACATACCGCAAGCATGAATTCCACACGATCCAAGATCAAAGGTTTCATTCTGCCCTTCGTCACTGTCCAGCGATGCCCATCCCTTCTGGAAAACCAGCGAAGAGATTAAGTTGCCGCATACTGTGCTTATTCGAGACACGCTGAAGAAAATGCCATGCAACAGCGCAACATCGGCGGCTGGATCTCTTTGGTGCGCTGCTGCCAACTCCACGGCTACAGTTGTGATATAGGTTCCCTTCGAAACCCATATAAAAGCAGCACCGATGCCTGGCAACACTGCAGCAACGAGCAGCACGTAGGCATTTGTGAAGTAGTTGCTTACGGTGTAAACTGTGAATAGACCCAACCCTAAGAACGTACTCCATTTTGTGCCCAACTTGAAGCGGATGACAGCGGGCACAAGTAGGCCCGCCAAAGCACTGCAGGCATACAGTAAGGACAAGCTTGCTAGTCCTGTGCCCTCAGCGTTGTTGAGCGTACTCTGTAGGTCACGAAGGCCGCGAAATCCAGTGTAGCAGGCGAAGTAGCACACACTGAAAACACAGAATCGTTTCCATTGCAGCCTGGTTAAACGTTTTCTCTGAGTGTCGTCCATTGTGGTCTAGAACACGATGGGGATCACAACGGCGATGACTCTGTGTTGATTTGTCAGACGTGCTATATAATGCCGTCAATGCAGGTGTATGCCCAGGTCGTGTTCTATCATGCATAACTACCGAGTATAATGCACATGTATATTACGAATCCGACTTCCAATTGAATCGATGAGGTAATTAACTGAGACTGTACTGAGGCGGAAGCTGGTCCCTTGATCAGCATGTTCCACCATACTGTTCCTTGCTTTATGGTTTCACGTATGACTCGCTGTTAACGCAAAACACAATTTCGCAACCAGCAAAATGTACAATTTCGCAACCAGCATTGCTGTACACGAACCACAAAGGAAATAGCGCCTACACAAACATGCAATTGACGAAGGAAAAGGTCAAGGGACTCAACCACCTTCATAAAGAGGGGTGTTAAAAAACTATTGTTAATGAAACATATGGAGCAAGTCATGGAGCAGAGAAATTTGCTGAAAAAAATAACTGCCTTGTAAAAAAAAAAAACAGGTTATAACAGCCCAACTAATTGCGTCTATAATAAGCCATTCCGCGTGATTACTTAATTTCAGTGGCCACGGTTAAAAAAAAAATTGCTTTGGGTAGTTATGATCAACATGTACTTACAATATCATTTTTAATTCCATATCATGTCGGTTACTGTAGCTGGCCTTTCTTCTTCTTTTTTGGCCAATTTGGACCAATCTTTGGCTACAAATATCATGTTTAGCTTTGTTTTACAAAAAAAATCATGTTTAGCCTATGTTTAGGCCACCCGACCAAAATAGAATATACTTTCTTTTTTTTAAATATAATTCTGGTCCAACTTTTGATTTTTTTACGTCCGGTGGAGGAACCCTGTGCGATTGTATACTTTCCGGAAAGTACGTGTTCTTAATATTTATTCTCTACGTTTGGGAATTTGGCTGTTTTCTATATTTTAAATTTCTTTTGTGGTTGTCATTTTTTAAATATTCATGTGTAATTATTTAAATTTGATGTTGTTTGATCTCTTTACTTGAGTGTGTTTGCTTTTTTATATTAATGCTGATGTCTAACAATTTGTTATTCTTTGTTTATATATATGGTTTTCTTTTGCGGTTGTTATTTTTTAAATATTCATATGTAATTATTTAAATGTATTGCTTTTGATTTATCGTTTTTGCTCTTTATAAGTTAACGTTGATGTCTAACATAACAATCTTTGTTTAATAGGTTTGGTCCTGTTACTTTTGTTTTGTTTTTTCACTCGTTTAATTTTGCATTAATATATTTGTTTTATTCAAATCTTTGGATTAACGATTTATATTTAATTATTTCAGCATTTTAATTTATTTACTGTTTTCATTGGTTACTTACCTCTTGGAATAATAACTTTTTATGTATTCAGGTCCCTTTAGAATAGCAGTTCAGAAAACTGAAAAGGCTACCCCGTTGAAATAAAACTAGTACCACTCCCAAAATGGTTATTTTGGCCCAAAATTGTATTTTGGGGTTTCCTTCAAGTTTTTGTGGATTTAAATAAAGAGGAAGCCGTCAACTGACATAGCACATTTTTTAAATCAAAAGTGCATTGTTTATTACCTTTATAGGCCCTACCAGTTGAAGGATAATGCAGGTGGAATAGTTCCCAATCTCCCTTGTATCCCCATGCCACCCAATTCTGATCTTGTTAACCATTACTGTAATGTAATTGGCAGAATGTAAATGGAGACCAAATTGCAAGCGAGTGCATCCCCTCCCACACTTAATTTTTGTAATTGCCAGAACGCTTTACCTGACCAACTAGGCATTTGGTGACTTTCCTTGCTTTTATGGGGGTCCATAATAACATTTCTTTGGGGTGTCCATCGTTGCTATGGCAACCTATTCAAAGACATTAGCAATCATAAACCTTTGTCATTGTTGTATATATAAAAACATGACAAGTTGCATTTTGCTGAGTCAAAAACATGTCGCACAAAAATAGGCATAAGGTCCTGTTTTCCAGGAAGGCTATTCCACCTGAATTAAGTCACAGTGCCTCATAAGAGTAAGAATTTAGGGACTGTCGGTGCCATTTGAGCAGACAACCTTTCATTTTGGTTTTGATTTAAACACCTTGTGGTATGAGGTGAAAGGAGAACCAATGAATGAAGGAGATCATGATCGTAAACAAATTTCGAGCATTGTACTTTTTTCTTCGATTTTTAAATGAACGAAAGATTGATTTGTCATGATGAGATTAACCCCAACTTTTGCCTCCGAGATTATGTGGCGTTTTGTTGGAATAGGGCCTGTACAGTCTTGTTTGCAAGACATTCAAGTATAAAGGCCTATGCATTTTCCTTTTTCTTAGTTTCAATCGACAACTGTATTTCATCCCGCAGTGCTTTATTTAACTAGATTCCTTGATCAGGTAAGATTCGACTATATTGTTGTGTTATTCCATTCCTGACTAAGGAACCGGGTTATTTTTTTTAGGGGGGAGGGGAGGGGCGGATTCCGCCCCACCCCCTCAGATCTCGGCCATGAAACTTGGTGCATGCATAGAACTACTGATCATGAACAAACCCAAAAACTTTCATGACTATAGGTTAAAGCTTTTTGGAATTATCAGCTAACTTTAATTATTCATATGCATGGTAATTCTGCTTTGTGTACACTAGGCCTTCATAAAAGGGGAAATTCATTTCCACGAACAATTTTCGCTGCGTGGTAACCCATGGTCGGAATTTTATGTTTTTTGGTATCAAAAGATGCGCGAGACTCGAGGCTTAAAAGTCCAAAAAGCTCGGGTCCGGATTTAAAAAAAAAATTGCAAGGGTATCGCGGAATAAGGTGAAAAACAATTCGATAATGCATTGCGAAACGACAACGTAATTATAGTTATACCGTGGCAACCCTTAATGAAAGTGCACAGCACACGACTCTTATCATAAAGTCACAATCAAGGATTGACATGCAAAGTGTTTGTGCTGGGTTGACATTTTGATAAAATGAGTTAATAGATTTGTTTTTCAAAGTGACTATTCACTTTACTTTGTCAAAACTGCGGGCTGTTCAAGTTCTCAATATCAAGCAAAGGACAGCCAAATAGTGTACTTTAACGGAGATGATCAAAGCAGTGGTTTCGGAGCATGTTTAATTATAACTCGTGTCGAATATGCCCTTATAAATCCGTGCCGTCTTTTTTCTTTTTTTCATAAACAATTAAGAGCGTCCCCAAGAACGGGTACAAGTTTTTCGATTGATCATTAGTTAAAAACATTACTGGCAATCAGAAATTTCTGACGTCTGTGTAGTCAGAAATTGTAAAATGGCGGGCAATGGAGCATTTTCGTGTTGTGGACTTGATCTCGGTGCCATTCTCAGTGGTATATTGGTGCGTCTTCTCTTCGCTCTTCATGCTGGCGCATGCGTATTACGCATCATTGACTTCGGCGACGGCTATCACCGCCCGTGGCCAGTCTACATGTATATCGGCGTAGTATCTCTTATGTTGCTGGATGCAATCTGTTGCCATTGCGTCTTCAAGAAATCATGGAAACTGTAAGTCCACTCTCATCACTATCTCAATTCTTGCATCCACTTGTTTAAAAACAACCTTTGTAATCCAAGTCATTTGTTGATGGGTCATTGTTCTCTTACTTATTATTTGCCTTGAATTGTACTGTCGTTATATGCGAAGTGAAATCTTTAAAACATGCGCAGAACCTGTTTCATGAAATATGTTTCATCAGGATTATCTGCAAGCACCATTATGATTGCACAACAAAGAATTTCAATTATTTTAAAATTTCGCTCTTGGAAGAATTTCACTTCAAGCCTTTTTTTGTACAGGGTGAGAAAAAAAAACCCAAACCCAAAGAAATATATACAATATTTACAAAAAGATATAGTACCAACAATAATTATGACTGGTAAGCCAATTTCAGACACTACTTAAAAAAATACTTCAATAACCCTATGTACTAATTACGTCACGCAACGTTTACCGCAGTGCATTGCGGGATTGAGTGGGGGTCGCCGCACCGCGATCGCTGTAGAAAACATGTAGTATTGTGTGCCAGGGTCTGATTTATTTTAATTTGCGCCACGAAAGCTATCGAAAAAAAAAACCCTTCAAATTGTGATAAAACCTTGTCTTAATTAATCTAAACTGTATTTCAGGTCGATGGTTCTTAAAACTATCGAAGAATTTAGGTATGCACAACGCTGCTGACGATGGCCATAATATATCGCACGGTATTAGCGCGCGTGACTGCACTGAATCGCTAGTACAGCGGGCTGCGAGTGACTTGCTGCGGTAGGAAATTTCGGGGAAACACGCTGCTTCAAGTAAGAGCTGTACAACCGATACAACCTCGAAATATATGATTAAACCAAATAAATAGAATCAAAGGGTCAACCACGGAAAATACATACACACAAAAAAAGACAGATCACGTTCTGTTAATCAAATTGCAGAAATTTTCTCCATCTATTTTTTTTGGCACCTGAGACCGAGTTGACTTGGGACCGAGTTGGTTTCAAAACGAGTTTCGTATTCGAGTCTTTTGTCCCAAACCATGTACCAACTCGGTCGCAAGTCAACTACGGCCAAGGTCAACTCGGTCTCATGCCAATTCGGTTCCGGTGTCAGCTCGGTCCCAAGTCAACTGGGTCCCAAGTCAACGTGATGGAGAAAATTCCCTAGCAAGGCACTATATGGGCTAACATCAAATTGGGCCATGCTAGGGGCTGTGCCATGTTAGGGTACATCAACAATACGCGTTAAAGTGGTTACGTCATACACCGCTGATGTCACACCTTGCCGAGGTCACGCGTTCGGTTCCACACAATCCTGGCCTTACAGCAGAGTGGCCACTTTTTCATTATTTTTCTTATCCGTTCGAAAATAAAAAAATAACTGCATCCGTTTCATTTTTTTTAACGATGCCGTCATTTTGTGGGCACCGCTACATATAAGGCCAGGTTTGTGTGGAACACGTGACCTCGGCAAGGCGTGACCTCAGCGGTGTATGACGTAACCACTTTAACGCGTATTGTTAATGTTCCCTATGATGGCACTTCCCCTAACACGGCGCAGTTTGATATTCGCTCCAACTACCTTGCTAGAGCATTTTCCCAAGCAAGTTGATGTGGGACCGAGTTGACTTGGGACCGAGTTGACATGGGACCGAGTTGACCTGAGACCGAGTTAACCTTGCTCCGAGTTGACTTGGAACTGAGTTGACTCGAACTGACTTGGATTGGGACCAAGTTGACTCGAAACTAACTCAGTCGGGGTCAACGCGGTCCCAGTCAACTCCTTCTCGGGTGCGCAGTTACGCGCGCTAATAATACCGTGCGATATATGGCCAGCATCGTCAGTAGCGTTGTGCATACCTAAATTCTCCGATATTTTTAAGAATCATTCACCTGAAGTATAGTTTAGATTAATTAAGACAAGGTTTTATCACATTTTGAGGGTCATTTTCGATAGCTTTCGTGGCGCAAATTAAGATAAATCAGACCCAGGTACACAATACTATGTGTTTTCTATAGCGATCGCGGTGCGGCGACCCCCACTCAATCCCGCAATGCACTGCGGTAAACATTGCGTGACGTAATTAGTACAGAGGGTTATTGTTCAATCGAAATGACCCTATAATTAGTTTCGTCCACAAAAAAAAACAATTGATTGTGTGTTCTGACTAGACTAGTGTTTGGAACAAAAAAAATGACACAGAAGACTGTTTCAACAAATGTCAACAACAGTAGTAGAACCTACACAATATCTTGATTAACACCTCTGCCTGGCTAACAAAAGGATAAAATCCCCCTGTCCTTAATAAAGACGGGCCTTCAAAAGAACTTTATTGAGTATTTCTTACTTTTAAACTGAGGTGTTATCGCTGGTGATGATGGAAGACAATTGAAACGACAATTCTTGAAATCGCATTTTTGAACGAAACGGATTGTTAGATCATTTCGCTTATAAATATAGATGGTGATATAATCTGAACAGATTGAGCAATTGAAGTAACTTTTTCACCTTAAAGTAGTTTATTAAATTGGCTGACCAGTCATAAATAGTTTTGGTGCTACACATTTTTGTCAAAATGAAATATATTTCTTTGCGTTTGCGTTCCGCTTGTTTTTACTCGCACTATATTACGGCCAACATAGTCAGGCGCGGATCCAGGGGAGGGCCGCGGGGGCACGTGCCCCCCGTCAAATTTGAGTCAAAAAAAAAAAAAAAAAGGAATAGAAGGGTCAAAAAAAGGGAGGTGAGGGAAGGAGAAGGAAGCTCCTTTCAAAAATACCGGCGCCGATATTAAACATGAGCCTGCAAACATTGCGTACTCGACTCGAGAAGCTTCGAAATAAACCGCGATCCCATCGTACGTACCCCGTACGTACGTGCGTACGTATTACCCTGCATATACCGTTATTAAATGCGATTCATACGAACGTACACGATTTATTCTCTACGAACATGCAGCTTTATGTGCGCGACAAACACACGTTGCGCAGTGCTCTTTGGACCACACCATTGGTCAAGGGTGTGTTTTAGTAAGAACAATTTGCCAGCTGTTCCACGCGCTTTTGAATTACAAATTATACTTTTTTTCACGGAGTCCAAAACATGTCCTTGTTTTAAATTGACTTCTTCAACGTCACGTCATCATATAATTTTCGTAAAGACTTTATTTGAGAAACGATGTAAAACCCTGAAAAAATTGAAACACCCCTAAAGGTCATGGATCCGTCCTTAAAACGTTTTTTTTTTTAACGAAGAAAGTTGAGATCCAAAAGTTGGGTTTTGACGTTACTACTACGCGTTGCAGAAAATACAAATCTGATAAGTTTGGTACATAAAAGAGATATGTTTGTCTGAGAACAAAAACAATCAGCAGTTATTGCCCAAAGGCAAGTTTTAGCCCTCGAGACATGCTCTTGCAAGCTAGACGGAACGCAAGTGTGTTGCTTTTTGAATTGCAAGCGAGATAAATTTGATCGTAGTTCGCCGGTGGCGACGCGGGCCGGCATCCGTGCGGACCGGGAGGTATACACCTATTCCCAATGTCTATTCTCAACGTTATCATCACAATTATTTACTGGAATTTTTTTTACATAACTAAATGACGAATCCACCTTCAAAATTGTACCATGTGGAAATTGCAATCATGGCGCCGAAAGACCCGATGTCTATTATAATGTAAAGACCAGACGCAGTGTCTCACACAATTTGTCTTGCTGCGCCGCCGATCTGCCGATGGTTTATTTACAAATACATGCACATGTAATAGGCCCTATTCTTGAAATTGAAACTGGATTGAATTAAAAGAACATTTCTTTAAAATGTTTGGGCATTTTACATTATGCAAAAAAAGAGGGAGAATCTTGGATGACCGTATGATTAATTTCTGTAGTCGTGAGATAAAACTGAGCTGTGAAGTTACAATGCAGGCTAATTGCTACTCTGTTTTAGTTTGATTAAATTACACTAATTTTAAACTTGAGTTCAATTAACATGTTCAAGCGGTTTCTTCTTGTTGATAAACTGAAAATTTCAACTTGAAACAAAACATTAGAAAGCATCCTTACACCAGTTTACAAACTAAGTTTTTACAATTCCTTTTTCAAAAATATAATGCACGAAGACACATGCAGACGAAAATATATGGTATCAAGTGAAGAACAGAAGAAACTGAGAAGGCTTGTAAAAGCAAGATTATATTTTAATCAATGAAAAAAATCTTATAATCTTAAAACAATTTACTCAAATAACTCCGGGGAAGAGGGGCCAGGAATTGCCTCAGATTGCACCACAGAGCATCTAGAATCCAAAATTTCCCGGGGCCCTTAAGCGGGCCCCGGACCCCACGCCGAAAGATGTTCGCGCTCCGCATTGGTCTTCGGAAAGATGCCTTATACTCATCCTTGCAAGATACAATTCCTTTTCAAAAATAAGCACGGAAATAACTATGCAGACGAAAATGTTTGGTTATACAAGTGAAGAACAGAAGAAACTGAAAAGGCTCGTAAACGCAAGAGTATATTATAAACCAATGAAAAACATCCTTATAATCTTAAAACGTTTTGCTCAAATAACTCAGGGGAAAAGGGGCCAGGAATCCCCTCAGAATACACCACAGAGCATCTAGAATTCTAAATTTTCCGGGGCCCTTAAGCGGGCCCCGGACCCCACGCCGTAAGACAGGCGTGATCCGCCCTCGCATTAGTCCTCGGAGCAAAAGCCACAACGCACCGTTGCAACAGTTTACAAAACGAAGTCAATACAATTCCTTTTCCAAAATAAAAAGCAAGACAATATAAAGACGTAAAATGGTTTTCGACTTTCAAGCACACATTAACTTAAAAATTGTAAAAGTAAGAGTATGTTTTAAAAAAATCCTTAAAATCTTAAACACTTTTGCTCAACTAATTCAGGGGAAAGGAGCCAAGAATCGCCTCAGATTGCACCACAGAGCATCTAAAATCCAAAATTTCCCGGGGCCCTTAAGCGGGCCCCGGACCCCACGCCGTAAGGGCTTCGCGCTCCGCGCTCGCATTAGTTCTCGGAGCAAATAATTTTGCTCCAATAGTGTGCCCCCCGTCTAAAAAAATCCTGGATCCGCGCCTGATAGTCAACAAGTTTCAATCACGATCCAACCTGAGCCTCTGAGTGATGGTGACCCTTTTTCCATTGTTTTTTTCTGGTTTGCTTCTTCCCTCTCCACTCAGTTTCTCACCAACTATCGCACTGTACATCATCTGCACCGCTGTCTGTATTTGGTGGATGCAACTGACATTGTATCGGCAAAGGAAGGACTTCGCAGAAAACGGCTCCGATTATAACGTCTCAACAGACCCAGATATTGTAAAAATACCACTTTTGCCAAGTGTCCAAATTGAGGTATGTGCCGGATGTTATTGAGATACTCACTCAGTCGTAAATTACTTCACTATTTATCAAGGATATCATCACAGGGCCTGGAGAGGATGCGAAAGTGGTCTCAACGGGCTTTCATGACAAGAAAACATTTATGGGATTAATGTGGTCCTAAGTATGCTTGCCTTGATAGGCAACTGTAAACACTTTTGGAAAAAAAATCCAAAAAGGCTAGTATGGCCTACAGTGTGACCACTGTTTTCGAGAGAATAAAGTGTTTTAGAATAAAGAGCAGTTGTTCGTTTCCCCTGCACGTATCGTTTATTTTTATTTCCAGTTTCTCCTACAGCTGAAATGCACGTTGCCTCAATGGTGCGACATCCTCCTTCAACTAATGATGTTCATCCTCATCATCGGGCGCTGGCTCCTGCCCAAAGGCAAACTGTCACGTGATCAGCTCTCACAGCTGCTGTTGGTGCAGATTGGAATAGCGGCAGACATCTTAGAACTTCTTTCCGAGGGCTTCTCAGCAAATCTAAAAGACATCCAGGGTGCCGTTTGGGTGTTAATCGTCTGGAGTTGGAGTCTTCCGCAATTCACGCTCAGTTTGACAGTGATGAAAAGAAAGAAGCATAAGATGTCCAAACGTTTGGTCTTCGAAGATGACCCTTCGAGATCACTCGATGACAAAGACTACCATCGCTGCCGTGAAGTCTGCTGTGCCACCGACATGTGGTCCATACTTCTCTCCCTCCTTATGCAGGACGTGCCCTTCTTAGTGCTCCGTCTTTGGCTCATTTATTCCTCAGGGAAATCAGAAGAATCCCTGCTAATGAGCCAGGCGTTCTTCTTCTCGTGCAAGAACGCCGTCGTCATTCTTCTTCAGATGTACCGGGTGGCTGTCATCCTCAGCGAAAACCGAATGAAAAAGAGAGCGTGGAAGCTAGCTACGAAGAAGAAAAACAAGACGGAGATTGCGGCCGCGCTTAAATCGAATATGACGGTGGTGACCGAGACAGCACCAGAGGAGGAGTCGACAGCTGATATCGGTGTTTGGTACACCCAGCAAGCTCCGTGTAGGGATTCTGAGTTACGTGTGATTCGCAGAGATGTCGGCCTGCAAACAGATTCTATGCTGACTCTCAAAACCGATCGGGTTTAGCTTTACAGCAGCCGACCATGGTATATGGGAAATGACTATTACGAGCTACGGGATTCAGAAATCAAGCTTGATTAAATCTTATGTCAAACACTCCACATTGGGGAAATTGCAGAACACAATTCGTGCAGCCTTTACCCTTATATACCAATAAGTTGAATTAACTCGCATAGCTATGTTAGTATTGGCTCCCATGCATGAACTGCCGTCGGCGCAATAGGACTTACGTTGGCCAAGGAAGCTCACAATACGCGTGTGCGCATGCAATATCCCCCGGGCGGATCCATGATTATTTTGCAGAGGGGGGTTCATCAGCAAAAAATTCGGAGCTCGTACCATACTTTCAATGGGGATGCTGCTCAAATCTGACGATTATTAAGACTATGATATTACATATTAGTGTTCAAATACCCCCTTACCAAGCTGGCTGTGTCCGTTCTTTGTGCCCAGGCGGACATCATTACCATGCGGTATTTGGGGGGGGGGGGGTATCAGAGCAGGGGGGGGGGGGAGTCGCATTATTTTTAATGAATGTCTATGAAAAATAAATATTTGACAGAGCTGGGGGGGGGTGACTCCCAACCCCAACCCCCCATCCCCCTACAAAAAAGTAGAATCATCATCATCATCATCAGTCTCCAAATCCAGCTATGGGACGTTGAGCCACCCAAGCCAATCGATCAGTCGAGATGAGCCACAGGGCATGGGCTGATGGTCAGCCTCAAGCTGGCGCACCCAGGTATTTCGGGGAAATACAAAAAAAGTAGAATGTCTTTTCATTGTTAAAAATACGAAATGAGCAACAAACACCACAAAAGACTTCATAAAAAAATGCCTCTCTCTAACATAAGAGGATGTTATTATGCACTAACCCATACAAGACGGCATCAAGTTTATAAACAAAATAAAGGTCTATTACTGACGTGACAGACCATTGACCGTATGACACGAATGGGGCGGGATGGATTGTGTCGCCAAAATAGTAATGAGCAATTTGGCCTGAATTAGCATTAGACTCGTATATGTAGGCTCTCTAGCTTATAATGTAAGTAATGCCAAACCAATCATTCCATTTGCCCACCAATTTGTAGGGGAAAAATGGCAACTTGACTTTACCAATGCAAACATGAACCCCATTCCTGTTGCCTAATGTATACCCAATCTGGGGAAATCCGTTAAAATTTCAATGAACATTTTACAGTTTGAAAAGAACGTGATATATTGTAAGAATTGAATTTGGTACGCCCGCATAAATTATCAGCTCTAACTACTATAATGAAGGTCTACAGCTTAAATTAACGGACACAGATAAGGATCTGGCTTCTAATATTTTAATATATAATTTGTTAATATATAATATGTAAATAGTTAATATAATATGTATAAATATTGAACTATTACGATTACCACAACTGCCTTTCGCCTCACGGTAAGACTCTTGTTAATAAGTTATTTTTCGATCGTGACTGGTTTACACGGGGCCGGCAGGGGATGCTTTTATCGTCTTATTCGAAAAGGGATTTCTTTGAAAATATAAGTTTAGGATAAATAATGGATAAAATAGAGACTTATGACTCAGCTTCAAGATAACTTTCAACGTAAATGGGCACATTTCGAGCGGTCTGACGATAGACATCGATGGGCCCTAGATGCATATATACGTACACTGAACCAGCTTATACAGGGTGAGTCAAAAAAAGCGAAACCCGAATGTCGGAACCATTGTTTTAGTGAAGTTCTGCTTGTAGCCCTTTCGAAATCAAGGATACAAACGCCCAATTCATAAGATTTCTTTTAGTACAAGAATCATTCAAATCACTCATGTACTTTTCAAGTTACGGAATTTTAAACACAACCACCGTTTTAAAGTTCTGTCCCCGGATCACAAGAAGTTAAGTGTTCTTTCAGCAAAACAAAACAAAATCACATTAGGGATGTGTGTGAAATATGTTTTCGTTTTGCTGAATGAACGCACACTTGAAAAGTACATGAGTGATTGAAATGATTCTTGTACTAAGAGAAAGCTTATGAATTGGGCTTTCGTATTCTCGATTTAAAAAGAGCTACATGCAAAACTTCACTAAAACAATAGTCCCGACATTTGGGTTTCGCTTTTTTGACTCGCCCTGTATAGTCAAGATTTGCGTCCCATCACACTTCGCTTCGTATGTCAATATCCTCTTTCGTCTTGGCCCAAAAGACGTCAGTGATAGTTGTTCAGTAGCGTCCTTGCATAATTGGTGGGGTTTTTTGGGCACGTTTTCTTACTAACGTCTTGGTCATTTCGTAGCAATGGGACGTGACCATTTTATGTGAATAGGACCGTCTGTATCAATTCGAACAAAACGGCAGTTCTCATTTGCAGCAGTAGTCGCGCCCTCGCGCGGGGGTATCACTGCGTCGCGAATGTTTACAATCTTCGGGCCATTCAACCATTTCTCGATCGCTGATTGGTTCCCTAGGAAAGCCTAGGGAGAAAACAAGGAAAATTAAAGTTAAACTGCTGATACGAAATGGCCAAGACGTAAGTGCGAGCAGGCCCGCTGGTCTAATTGTTGTGCCGTAAGAGGACGCACTATGCACCGTCCACTATCGATCACTAGCGTCTTGGGCCAAGACCATTATCCTCTTTTATACAACACCTGAATAAATCCCCGTCATCTGATTGGAGAATTGTAGATCACGTGACATATTATTATTCGGTATAATGCACGGTGCGACCATGCGTTATACCCATGCGTTATACTGTTTCATTTTGCGCTTGTTCCATGACGCGGTATTTGCGTGCAAAATGCATGCTGGTGTGCGCGTTCAGCGTAGCGCGTATTGTTCCAAAGAGCCAGCGCCACAGCGTTGGGTTCAAACATTTTCGTGAAGGGGTAGTTCAACATCTTTAAAATCAAAATAAATTGTAGTTTATAATTTACCAATCAAATGACGAGAATTTATCCAGGTGTTGTATAAAACAAATAACGAATGTTTTACGTTCGTGCGATGGAAAGAATAATTTCACTCGGTGACAGATTGAATGTTCTATTCCACTCGGCTTCGCCTCGTGGAATAGAACATTCAATCTGTCACCTCATGAAATTATTCTTACCATCGCACTCACAAACATTCGTTATTTGTATACTGTCTCATTAGATGGAATTTTTTGCGTCGGGGTGATGTAAATCAAATTAGGTTTTGCCCTTCACCGACGTATATAAACACTGTATACTCAGTGTGTTACCTCCCGAGTGAAAGTTGGAAAAAATCACTCGGGTGGGGCTCGAACCCACGACCTCCTGCTTTCTAGTGAAGATGTCTTACCACTCGACATCCGAGCTAACGGGATCGGTTGGCTGGTTCGAATCTAATGTACATAGCAGCGGGTACCGCATTAACTATTCATAAGATGGATTTTTTTTTTCTGTCTCAGTTATTAAACATCGTTGTATCGTTAAGTGCGCGGATGAGTGACATATTGATGTTTGGACACTTTTTACTTTGGCTGCCATCTTTTTAACGTTGCCACGATTTGTACCACGGTTTGTGCCAAACAAAGTATTTGGTAAATTTCCTTGCATTGAACCTTACATGATAATAGAGATTGCTGCCACAGGTTTTATGTTCAGATGTATATCTTTGTAAATTTAGACTTTTCGATGGATTAAATAATATTTTTGCCATTTCGGATAATTATTTTAATATGCCATACTTTAAAATGTATATTATATTAGTCATGATCCGGGTGCTAATGCCCAACTTGTTCAACCCACAACACGATTAATAAGTAAACATGTGATGAAATAAATAAACATTAGTCGTTATTTACTTATTCGGTTCATGTTAATTAATGTTTAACTCTGCAAGGACAATATGTCGCCTCCGAAACTAATAACTCTCGGGCACGAAGAAGTGGGTATACTATAATGGCTGGATTGAACAATTGTAGTTGTGTGTCTTATCTGTGTGACGTCACAAAAGTGTGGACCTTATTAAACTAAATAGGGGTAATTCTATCAAACAAACACGCTTGAAATACGAAAAATGATGTGCCTACCCGGATGTTCTCAGGTACGAAAGCAAACAAGTTGCTGCTGCATATACCGGCTTTTCCACCCCAAAGAGAGATAAGATCCCAAGAGATATACAGATACATATAAACACTATTTCAATATAATGACTTATGAGGCAATACTGTTGACTTCTGAAAATATGAAAATGCAGTCACGGCATAAAACGACAAAACATCGCATCGCAGATAACAGAAAGTAGATGCAAACGCGTGGAAGAGGTAGCGCTCTGCTTAGGACAAAAGTAGATCACACAACAAGTCAGCAATATGGCGAAACAATCGAAGTCGCACTCATTTTGTGGTCGTCTGTGTAACTGTGCCTTCCTCAGGGGAATGTTGGTCCGTGTGCTGTTTGGTTGCCACAACTTCGCCTGTGTTGCTGTGTTTTCGTTAGATCCTTGCCGGGGTGTTTCTGGTGCCATTTGGCCGTTTATTGTCTATGGTGTCTTTATGGGCCTCCTGTTAATGGATGCATTCTGGAGCCTCCGAGATCCCCAGAAGGGCCAATGCTGTAAAGTGTGAGTTTTCAGTGTTTTATACTCCGATAACTGTGAAAAATCCAAAGAAGAAAAGTTCAGGGCTATGCCTTTTTAAAAGCATCTTTATGTAAAGATGTTTTTGCGTGGCTTTTAGATTTAACTCGGAATTGACAAAACAAAAACAGGAGAAACAATTAAAATTAAAGAAATCTCTCCCTCGTTTGCAAAGTATCTGATATTCAGCGTAGGTCAGACATGAAAACGATCTTTGACGTTTTTAAAACCAAAACCTCTATAATTGCGAAAATGAGAATCGCTCTAAACGATTTGAAATACAAGAGTAAAACAGGCTGTACGTGAAAATCTCGAATCCAGAAAAAAAAAACAATTAGAAAATAATAATAAGTTCGTGTATTTAAAAATAAAAGACACGTAAAACAAAAGGAAACTAAGAACATAATTTGTTCCCTTTGTAGCTTTTCACCGACCATTGCGCTGTATGTTACGTTCACCGTTCCTTGGGTTTGGTTTCTGGAACTGGCAAAATACGATCGAAGCCATATTAAGCTTACTCCGTGCAGCACGTTGATGGTGAATGATGACTCCTGGAATGACATGGTATAACATTATTTTCTTCTCTCCAATTTTTCTAATCAACTTAAATGGTTTTTAAATTTGACTAATTTGTTGGACTTTTTTCTGATTTTTTTTTTTTTTGAGAAGCCTGCAATTTCAGTTAGCAACTAACAAGAATCTAACATTCGACAGGGTATTTTAAATATGGATTATGTCCCCCTTGCACAGTGGCGGCTCTAGTGATTGCACCCCCTCCCCCCCATCCCCACCCCACCGTACCCCACCCCTCCCTGTTCAGCCGCTGAGTAATGTCATGATACAAGTAAAGTAGGGCCAAAAGCTATCAATTGAATAGTAATGCTCCCTTGATTTATTCTCAAATTGCCTTGGAATGCAGGAAAAAATCATACATTTCGGGGGTTTTAAGGGGCATGCCCCGGACTCTCTAGCAAGGCGTGTCTTCACTCACCCCTCCCTCTCTATGTCAACACCACCCCCACCTCCCTGTTTCTTGAAAGCTAGATCCGCCCCTGGTGAATCTGAGGATGGTAACTGTCCTTGTTGCCCTTATCTGGTTCATCGCATTATTACTTCTGTTTTTTGGACAGCAGTTAGAATAATCTTTCAGATGTCCAATACCCAGATTTTGTTTTCGATCTCCTGTGCAGATGTGTCGAAATTATTTTGTTCAAATACCACCTAAATCATCATGTGACGTCGTTGATAAAATAAATGGGCACAAGTTGAACCGGTTTCAAATTAGGTTTTTAATTGTACATTTCCATTTTTGAATCATGATGCTTAACGATTTATTTATATATTTCCTTTTTTTCTATTTTCTTCCATCCGTCATTCTCCGCGATATGCTGATGCAAATGGAAACACCGAAAAAGGATGAAAACACAACCTTGAAATGGAACAACACTGAATTTTTTTGGGTAAACGTATAACCATTGTTATTTGATGCAAGTTTGGGTAGAATCGTCACACAAGTACAGTATGTCGCAAATGTTAAAAAAAAATAATAATTACCGATAATTGGATATGAGGGAGACATTCCCATAGACTTGTGCACACATGTTTTTCCCAACTTTAATGACCCCTGACCCCAACTTGACCTTATCCTACCCCCACGAATTTCGGTATTTTTACTAATTGGACCACGAGCAATCGATCTAGCCTATTTGCAACAATGAAATGTTGCCTCTTGGGGCTGTGGAATAAGGGAGACATTGAAATGTCTCTCCAATCCGACATGTCTCCCAGAGGTATAACTTATGACGCTAAAATACGTGTCTCCCAAAGGTTATACTCGTCCTTATAACGATAAGAAAAACAACTGGAAATGTCTAGTTGTTTTTATTGTCATTATTTTGGGGGTACATGTAATATGAATAATTTTAATGGAGACTTTGTCAGTGTCTCTCTCATATAACTATTCGGGCCCAGGGTGGCCAGCCAATACGTCTCCTTGCTCCTTGCTGACTTACTCACTGTCACTTGTGACTGAGACTTGCAGAAATTTCTCATTGGCCCAAGTACTTGACTCAAACGTTTACGTAGACCCCTCCCCTTCTGTCGTCGCGTTCTTCATTTGTTTATATTGAGATGCATACAGTACTATTTCTAAATCTCTATTAAGTCTCTTATTCGAGTTACGTCACACAGACGACCAGTTGGCCTATACACCAACTATTCCTACCTTTTTTGTGCAGGATATCTTCCCTGATTTGTCGTTCCCAGAAAGTTCGGACATCCTGCTCCAGGCGATGATTATGATTCTCATCATTGGGCGGTGGCTTCTCCCTCAAAGCAAACTGTCACGTGATCAGCTCCTGCAACTGCTGCTGATGCAGATAGGCATAGCGGCTGATAGTCTAGAGTTTCTCACCGACACTTTGGCGACTGAACTGATGGACCAGAAGGGAGTCATCTTGGTTCTGAGCTTCTGGAGTTGGAGTCTTCCCCAATTCACCCTGACGATGAACCTTACGAAAACGAAGAAATTCAGAGCCACGGCCAGACAAGAAAACCCCAAGTGTTACACTGAAGAGTGTAAGGACTTTTACGAATGGCCCGACCTCTTCTTTGCCACTGAGATGTGGTCCATATTTCTGAATATTCTCATGCAAGATTTGCCCTTCTTAGTGGTCCGCCTGTACCTCATCGGTTCGTCAATATCAGTGGTGATAATAAACCAGCCGATATTGTACTTCGTCGCCAAGAATGTCATGGTCATTCTCGTGCAGTCGTATCGGATGGCAGCCATCGTGGCCGAGAACCGAAGCAAGAGGGCGTTGTGGCAGGCGTTTATCCTGGGTAGCACGGAGAACTCTTCGAAGACCCATCCAGGACTTGAGGTGTCTCCAAAGGAAGATCCGCAGGAGCTCATCCGAGCTCAACCGGGCGTTTATGAATATGCGTGGTATGTCAAAGCTATGATTCTTCAATTTGCGAAAGAACGGCTTAACCCCATTTCGCCACGCGAAAACGGGTCTCAGATATAAATAACAATTTCAAAGCAATTGTTCAAACTCGCCTTGACTTTAAACTTTTTTGGTTATACATTCAAAAGGTTTGTCAACAGTTATTACAAATATTTCCTATGAAATGGACTGGAGTTTCTTCTATATATGTACTTGGCCTTCAAAAGCTTTACCACACACACGCACACACACCAGCAAGTTTGTTTGGTACAAATCGAGGATTTTGTATTGTTCCTCATCGTCGATTCTTTATTTCAACAGCTCCCATCGGTTTTGTACACGTTTTCTAATCGAGGACGTCCTCAATTCCTGTCCTCAATTACTCGGGGATGCTTCACATGTGTTCCGATTTACACCATAAACAAACACGCATGCTCATACAGACACGCCCAATGGGGCGCTAAATAAAACGTCGGGCTAGGAATTCAGACGAGACGCACTTCAATCAAAAATCCATTTGTTGACTTTTGTAAAGCATTAAATATTAACTTTTCGAAGTACCATCTGCCGATTGGAGCGCTGTTCAAACCCGACGATAATGCACACTAAGGACAATGTATGTTGCTTTTCAGGGCAATACATGCACGAAATAAAAATAAAGGCACAAAAAAGGGACCTTTTTTTATTAAAGGGCACTTGTTCAGAAAAGAAGGGCACTTATTAACAAAAGAAGAACACTCTTTACAAATATGGGGGGGTAAGCGCTGGTGAGAAAAGACATTTGGATGGAAAAGTGCAATCTTTACACAATATTGGTAAACACCCCCCCTCCCCCCCCCCCCCCCCCCCCCCCCCCCATGGCTACGAGTATGCATAGGTACCTAACTGATTCAACCGTTACGGATTGGCGCATTATTGTTTATATCTTGATTATATCGGTGACTTGTCGGCGTACACATCCTGGTTTGATTCTATTGTATTATTAGTTGCATGCATTTTCATTTTAGTTTTGTGAGATTTTTGCTTTCTTTGGGGATAACCGTCAACATTTGGTAGCAAGAAAGGAATTAATATAATATTTCATGGTATCGGATTAAAGGGTAACTATTCATTGAAAAATAATTAATTAATTTAACACCACTGTTGGTACCTGTGTACATTTTGATTCCAGTGTTTTTGGGATACAAATTTTGATGCTTCAGCCAAAAAAGTAGCAATTATGTTTAGCTGGTGTAGGTCTTTATATGTATCTAGTAGTGTTTCTCCAAAGTGACTTTAAAATGCTTTTCTTGTCACTGTAGTGACATGTATATAATTAATTGTTTGTACTTACAGCTCTAACAGGCGTTCCATACAAACAAGTATGTTAATAAGTTTTGGTTGTCATAGGCACCAGAGTTCACTCTCGCTGTGCTGCGTTTGCGCAGTGTGACATGTATGTGATCTCTTACTTATCTTTTTCATTCTGCTTTGTGCAAGTTGTATTCCAATGTTGAAAGTTTCCTCAAAAGTTTTATTCAGTCAATTGATGTGTGTTTAAGCCTACTGACGTTCCAGAAGTTTGTTAATCATTGGATAGCAGGTGCATGACGAACTTGTGAACAACCAACATTTTGTGTGCCGTTTTTCACGATATTCAAGAACAGACACGAGGCTTCATAAACAGTAGTAGAACTCATTTCGGGAGAAAACACACATCGCTACACTACTGTGTTCAAGCTGTAAATGTAAGATAAATGTCAGGTATATGCAGTTTTCATGCTTATGTTGGCCAATTACCAGCTGTATTATATACTACATGCAGTATCCTACGGGAAGTCAAGTCCAACTTTGGTTGATTTACTCAAGGAAGGATATTGTGTGCGTTGTGGGTCAAAATAATGGTGATATTTGTACTTTGTGTTCTCGGAGTCGGAGTTTGGAATAAAATAAATTGTTGCAAAGTAATAATTTTAGTGAGTTTTCAAATATAGGAATAAAACTGGTGGTAGAGTGATAACAAGCAACTTAACTCCGTGGTATCTGTTGCAGTATACACCGCACAGTGATGAGTGACCCATTATCATAATAATATTCAATAATAACAGAAATAATTAGCATTTTCTGGTGTATGTTCACAATGAGCATCCAGTTGTCCTCGTTATTACAGCACTCCTAAACCTTGTGGTGCAATACAAGCGTTCTCTTCCTCCAAAAATGAGGCAAGTTACCGGCTTGACGAAATTTGAACTCATTTGTCATCATGGGCGTCGCCAGGATGGGGCAAGGGGGCGCTTGCCCCCCCCCCCCCCCTCCCCACCGGAAAGGCAGCCAAAAGGAAAACAGGAAGAACAAAGAAAAGAAGAAACAAAAGAGGGGTGAAGTCAGTTGCTATTAATTTAGTACACATTGAACAAAATGGGCGTCTGCAGGGGTGTCAATGGGGGTGGGGTGGGTAAGTGTCCCCCGCCCACCCTAAAAAAAACCCGACAAATTGAATATATGCCGAGTAAGTAGGCCTCTACAACGATTTTAGGGGAAAATGTGCTTTGCCTTCCCCCCCACCCCGAAAAAATCTTGGCGACACCCATGTTTATCATGATTGTGTTGTTTTCGGTTGAAGCAACAAAAATTGCTCAAAATCTAAAGGAGGGTGCTTAACAACCAATAATATCATGAAGTTTTAGTTCAGTGAATGCTGTATTTTCCAAGAAAACAACATTCTTGGATCTCGATTTCAAATCAAAAGTTGCCGAGTCTTGTTTTAATTTGCACCCGAAATCAGAGTCCGGGACACGTTCTCATGGGCCGTATTCACGAATCGGCCATATTGAATGGAAAGTTAGGCAAAATCTTAATTGTTTGAACTTGCGAAGAGAAATGACAGCAATTTAGCTTATAATCAATTCCAGTCTGCCTCAATAAATAATTTTAAACTTGAAATTAAACATTCCCTAATGTTTAAAGCCATATTTAAAAGACATTCAAACGACGGCAGTATGTACTGTATGTAGTCACATACATGCACTTGAATTGTCTCTGACAAAAGGGACGTGCATGGGTGCGCAATGGGGAGGAAGGGGTGGAGCGTGAGGGAGGTCACTGAGTGACATTAGGTAAGGTCACGGGTAAGGTCAAAGTAAACAAACGGGGAAAAATCGATTATTATAACAAGAAATGCAATGGTATGTGGCCGCTCCAACGGAAGGATGCGGTGTCGAGCAGGATTACGTGCAGCACGTGGTTAACAGAAATCGGTCGAACCACAGTTGTGTGCAGGGGATGTGCACGCACTGGCAAACTCATATCAAGGTTATAATCAGTCCGCCACAGAAGGTATTTAATTCCAACGTTTTCCTCTACTGCTCCAGTTTAACTTGAACCATTTTGTTACACTGGAGGCGAACGGGGCGACATATTCAAGCTTCGGACGTCGCTCAATTGTACGTGTAGACCTCCAAAATGGCGATGTTTTCTTTCTTCGCTGTGATCCTGATTGTCTTCATTTCAACAAGTTTTGCTTTTGGAGGTAAGTTGATGACGTTCTATTTGGTATTGCATTATTTTGCAAACAATTTATAGACGTTTACGATTCACTGGCTGCAGATAAAATGTAGGTCATTGCTCTACCAGTGCGATTTCCTTTTAAAGGAGGTTTTTTCGAGTCACAGAAGAAATAAAATATCGGTAATAAAGACAGGCCCGCGTTTAAATGAATAGTAGATGATGCAACACTGTCTTTATTTAATTAAAGTAGTTTTCAGAATTGTAAATCTTATAATTTTCATTTTGTAATAGAAATCATAACCTTATGAGAATGCAGTCAACCGTGTGCCACAGACAGAGTTTCGCTTAAAGGGACATTGCGTCATGGAACAGCCCAATTGGGCTACAAAACGCGCTTTGAACGAAGTCATGTTAATCGGAAAGAACATTTAAAAGTAGGATATAAACATCCACACAACTATCCCTTAAAAACTGGGCGTTTTCTGTTATTCCTGTATTATACGTGCGAAAACGACTTTCGGGGTCCACATTTGCGACCCAAAAAAGTCGAGCTGTTTGGGTGCTAGTTGTATTGCTGTATTGACACACACAACGTGTATATCGTACATTGACTGAAAACGACAGGAAAAGCATATTCGTACTCCGTCGTGTCCGATGTAAACAATTAACCGGTTTTTCCGTCTTTTCTCGGGAACGGTAAGACATTAGGTTGGTTTCCTTTCAGCCAGATGTTTGAAATAGGATAAGTAAACAAGCCGAAACATGAAATTTTCGGGGATTTCAGGACCTATAGTGCCCCTTTAATCTTTTTGATTCAGCTCAACTTGGTTCCCACCAACCTTCGAGTGCTTGCAAAGTTACGGTCCATTAAGTTATCGTAAACACAACTTTGGAATGAACTAACCGTATGAGTTGTCCTCTGAACCCTTTCATTGCCAGGCTGCTTTGCAGATCCCCACACAGACTTAAAGGGGATATACATCATTTGCTTTTGCTGTAATTTTCAGAAATGGATGGAATTGAGGGGTTGAAAATCTATAGCAAATATAGTTACACTGACTTTTTTGATGTTTTGGGTTCGAAAATGCTATAAAAACCAAGAAAAACGATCATTTTCCTGTAGTCTGTTTCCCTGACTCCATATAAGAAGAAACAGGGCAGTTTACATACATTGGGGAATTGTAAGGTTAGGGAACCAGTCTAGCTGGCTCGTACCCGTTCATAGGTTTGTAATCGATTGCAAACAAGTGCGATGGTCAATTGGGGCCAGTATTTGAAAAAAAAAACCAGTTGTTTCCAACGCTGATCGGCCGATCAGCGTTGGAAATTGATACAAAAATACCACTTTTCTTGAAAATGACAGTATACCAGGTGCCATGATTTTACAGGATGCTTTACACTGTCATTCACTAACAGTCCAGCGAGGTATTTCAAAATGATTTGGTATGTTGTATTTTCCCTTTAACAAGCACAATAATTGATATTGCCTGCTGGCCTTGCTCCCAAAAAGAATAAATGGAAGAATGGGAGTGACGAGTTGGTGGGATCTTCTAAGGACTATAAGAAGTTTATAGTTTAGCCCACCCAATTCACCCCAATGGAAGGGGAAAAAACAAGTTGCCTGACCGTGGATGGATCGGGTTTCCCTGGGTTTTTTTTGTATGGTCAGTCTAGGGGAAATAACTGAATGGAAAGGTCATTTGGTCCCTGGGTATGGGCCAGGCTGTACTCACAGTCTAATAAGGGTTTTTCACTGGAAAGGCAGAACCTTGGTTATTTAAATCCATCACATCTGGTATTGTCAAAAGGCTTGTCTAACTTAAGTTATATGGTGAGTTAAAAGGAAAGTGAGTGACCCGGATTACTGATTTTTTTCTTTAAAAAAGGCAATCAAATTTAGTCTTAAAAGTATTTCTTAAACGAGCATGTTCTTTCACTCATCTGATTCACTCATACTGTCAGATTTTGTGTTTTGAGTATGAGGAACAAGACAACTCCTTTTTTCCGTCTCAAATATTGATGCGATATTTGTATGTTTTCCTGTGCAAGTTCTCGTTCATTCATCGAGGTGGGCAAGCGTCCATGTTTCATTATACTCAATTGGTATTCCTCGGTTACGTTAAATGATCAGTGGTGGACAGCCGAGTTTTGTGATCTTTTTATTGATACAAACATAACTTAAAATAGAGTATGGAAATTACGTGAAATTTTCGCAGTTAAAAGTCAATGAGATGTACCTTGTCCGTATTGGGTTTTTTTAAATGAAATGGAGCTAGCCAAATTTTTTTTTTTTAATTTTAAATTCGGTCACTTTCTTTTTCACTTACCCTGGAGTCATCATTGTGTGTGGTCCGTACAGTATATCTCATGAAATGTGTTTTAATGTGGGTTTCAAGTGGGTATTTTTTCTACCCATGAAGTAAAATTACTTGTAACCAGCCACGCTTATTAATGGTTTGTGTTTCCAAATTACTACGAAGAGATTGCAGTCATATATAATGCTCATTGCACAAAGGTGAAATTCAGGTTCCCTAGCCTTCCCTACCTAAAAAAAAAAAAAAAAACATTCCCAAGTTAAAGGAGGGTTAACAAATCTATGAGTTTTTTTTATTTTTGGAGTACAATTGGAATTGTGTTACTCGATCGCTGGAGTGATTAGGCCTATTATTATGTGAAATATAACACCTAGCCCATTGTGGGTATCAGGCGCGGCTTTGCTCAGGTTACACCACCTGAAGCCCGAAATCGGCATTAAAGGGGTACAAAACTGTTTGGTGTTTTTTTCACCAAAAAATAAAAAGAAGAAAAAAAAGTAAAAGGAAAGGTAAAAATAAACGTTCACACAAGTATCCTTCAAATTTTGGCCATTTTGTGTATTCTTGCCGGGGGTAATTTATGGGGTTAACGTTTTTACTCTCAAGAATCAAGCTGTTTAGTTGCTAGTGTTGATTCTTGTCCCACATATGCCTAGTACTTTGTGAAAATTTATCAAAACGCGTTTGTTTTCATCTGTTTGGTAAATGTTTGAGCTTATTTACATCGAAAAACCAACCGCTTCCTTTTGGAATAATTACCGCAGCTAGTAATGGGATCTCATCAAGTGAACGCCGCACGCATGTATGCACGGCACCGTGCCGCTGCATTGCATGCAAGGTGGGGGGGGGAGCGCGGCTAACAGTCAACACTCGTGTATTGGTGCTATGGTGACTGCTCTATGTTCCGACATCTCTATGTTCCCACACCCCTATATTCCGGCTGCTCAACCTATGTTCCGACACACTTATATTCCGACACACCTATATTCCGACACACCTATGTTCCGACACATCTATGTTTCGACATCCCTCCCTTCCGACCACCCGGACATAATATTGTGTTAGCCCGTTTAGAATAGTGCGTTGGGGCCATGAGACCAGCCTATGTTTACGTTTGTAGGGGTGTCGGAACATATGGGTGTCGGAGCTTAGGGGTGTCGGAACATGGGTGTGTAACCGGTGCTAGGACACGCACGTTACGTGTAGCGTATTCATTGCCATACATCATGGACGCATAAGTTGGGAAGGGGGACTCTTCGTTGAAAATGAATGTGCATGCAAAAAAAAATGTCCGCCGTGTCAGACGTAACTACCTAGGGCTTTGGGGTTAGTTTCCTTCCAACAGATCAGACCTTTGAAATAGGGTGTAAACATTCTAAAACAATATTTTCGACGATTTCAGAACGATGCGTCTTTTTAAATGCTCATGGTAAAAGTTTAAGAGGATTAGCGATTGGGTTATACTTGGCTCATAGTGTACGTTCCCAATTGCGAATAAATTTAGGATCACATCATAATAGCGTATACACAAGTTTAAACCTAAGTATGCAAAGTTTATTGTGTTGCTGACGTGCTCACCGTGATATAAGGCCATACTAGTTCCGAAAAAAATACCTTAACGGAAATTGAAGCTTGCGGTTCTGGTGACGTGGCACGAGCCAAAAGTTCGTCCTTCCGATGGCCTCGTTCAAAACCCCAAAATGTCCTTTCCTATAATGACGTCATATCGCAAACCTCTATGCCTAGCACGTTCGTGTTGACTACGTACGTGCAGCCCGACCGCCCTCTCACCTTCTTCAAACATCCTGGATGTCGACACCCCTGTCCCAGGAAGGATTAGAGTGAGGTCAGCAGTGACCAAATGGTATGTAGGATAGGAGGACCATGGGCCTCGCCAGGATTTTTCTAGAGGGGGCAAACCACATCCCCTCCCCCTCGATTTATCATTTTTCGACGGTGGGCAGGGATATTTACCACCCCCCCTCCAACCCAATAAGTTAACAGCTATATCGTTGGTATTTTCACGAAGCGAAAAAAACCTCAATATCATGCAAAAAGGTCATTCCGAGATAATCGCCTTTGAAGTTAATCATTTTTTCAAAACACCTTTTCGACTAGTATAACGAGTTAAGTTTGTGTCACTTCGTGAAAACAGAAAATACGGATTTTAGGCATTTTGTCAAATGTTTGTTTACGATAATTACAAAAGTAAACAATATTTCGCTTCCGAATTCTTCCTTTTGTCAAATGCAATAAATTGGTCGGCAAAACTTAAAATCGAAAAAATTTAGATTTTGGAGGTTTTTGTCACTTCGTGAAAACATCGACGATTTATGACTTCGCGCCTCTTAATCTTTACTTTTCTACCTTTTTTTTGCTTTTCGCGCTTCCCCCCCCCCCCCCCCTCTCCCTCGCGATGCCCTCCTGGAGGACCCTGGGGACAAGAAAACATTATTCCCTCTGTAATCATACAGTTTTAAAGTTTACTTAACACTTCCGGAAGATCATAAGAAGGGAAAACTTTCAAATTTTAAAATATCTCTTTGTCAATTTAAACATTTTGTGAACTTTTGATTCTTGATATATTGTGCCACGTTATACCTAGGGGCCCACGGCCGATGTGATTTAAGAAAGCCTACATTTACTTACGAAGCTAATCTCAAGTGACCAAAATAAAATACGTGAACAGAGAATTTCGTTAATAATCTAATAATCTTCAATGTGTATGTCGCCACCTAAACTTACTGCGTAAGTTACTCCGGGATATAGGTTGCGTATAAGTCGCGGACTGTTTTCAGTTTCCGTAAAAATATCATGAATTGCATAAGGAGCGGGGTAGCCGGGGGTGGCACTTTGAAAACTGTTAGTCATTATAAGTGACCGTGGTTAATGGGTTTAACGCCGTTATGCATAAGTGCAGTTACACCATTGCTTTAGGTTTTGTGAAATCAGCAGCGCGGCCTGGGCTTGGTAAGTCGTGCACTTGATTCCTCACTTACATCAAAACTTCGAAAAATCCTACATTCGCTACTTGAGTTTTGATGTTAATGCTAGTTTGTTTCCAATTTGTCCTCAGGACTTATGTTTCCTCATGGTGAACAGGAAGGAGACGCTATTGTTGAACCAAACGACGATGGCAGTTCTGGGATGGTGCCAATCTCCACTCTCTTCCCATATTTTGACCACAACCATGACTCTCTCTTTGTAAGTGTATCAAGTAAGGTTAAGGGGAATGTACAACATTTGCTTTTGCAACAATTTTCAGAAATAAATGGATTTGGAGGATTAGTATGTTTTAGCAAATATTGTTAAACTGACTTGTTTCACGTTTTGGGGTTGTAGATGCTGGGAAAAAAACAAGAAAACCAATCATGTTCTTGTATTCTGGTTCCTTGACTCCACTTAAGATGAAACGGAGCAATTTATAGACTTTGGGGAATTGTAAGTTCAGAGAATCGGTCTAGCTGGCTTGTACCCCATCACAGGTGTGTAATCAACTACAAAGAAAATGCGGAATAACTTAATATAAAAAATTAGGAGCAGTTTTTGACAAAAGCCAGTTTTCTCCAACGCTGGTCGGCCGACCAGCGTTGGAAAAATAGAATTTTTCTTGAAAATGTCAGCACACCAGGAGCCACGATTTTACAGGATGCTTCAGACTGTCATTCCTTATCAATCCAGTAAGGTATTTCGTGATAATTTGATCATTTAATTTGTTGATGTTTGCAAATGTTGTATCTTCCCTTTAATACACCTCTATGTTCCGACAACCCTATGTGCCGACACCCTATATATGTTCCAACACCCCCATGTTTCGACTGTACATATTCCTATTCCTCCTAACCCTAACCCTAACCCTAACCCTAACCCTAACCCTAACCCTAACAGGGAGTAACACAATCTTATGTGCGGGTTGTCGGAACATAGGGGTGCCGAAACATATCAGTTGTACAATCTCGAAAACAGGAGGGCATGGCTTGCATTTGACAATAAACTGGGGGACAAACTATCATAATTGGGGACAGAATATCCAGTCAGCCGGCCAGACACTCATGTCTAGGATTGTCTTCCATGGACATTTTGTACGGGGCGAAAATGCTGTTTTCACTAGCGATGAAGAAAGTCAAATAGGACGTAAGCTTATACGATTCTGTCTAGGCAAGTCCGCAATACAGAGTGAGTAAAAAAAAGCGGAACCCAAACCCCAAAAAATATATTTCAAATTTAAAATAAATACGGTGGCACCAAAAATAATAATGACTGGAAAGCCAATTTCATAAACTACTTTTAGATGAAAAAAATACTTAAATTGCTCAGTCCATATTACCATTCAAACGCAATGACCCTAAAACCTATTTCGCCCAAAAAATGCAATTTATTGTATGTGCTGACTGCTTAAGGAAATGAGACAAAATACTTGTTTCCACAACAGCCGTAGTACACAATATCTTTATTAACGACCGTGCCTAGGCAAACAATATGATTTATAAAATCATTTTTTTTTAAAAGACGGGCCTTCATAAGGATTAATATTTTATTACTTTTAAACTGAGGTGTGACGACGATTCTTCAAATCTCATTTTTGGACGAGAGAGGTTTTAGTGTCATTGCGTTTAAATGGTGAGATTCTTTGGACGGATTGAACAATTTAAATATTTTTTTCATCTAAAAGTACTCTATGAAATTGGCTATCCAGTCATTATTATTTTTGGTGCTACATCATTTTTTGTAATTTGAAATATGTTTTGGGGGGGTTTGGGTTCCGCTCTTTTGACTCACCCTGTATCAAGGGCGGATCCAGAACACAATTTTGGGGGGGGCCAAAAAAAAATTTGGTCCCCCCAAAAAGTGGGTCCAAAAAATTTCGGCGTGGGGTTCGGGGCCCGTAAGTGCCCCGAAAATTTTTTGGATTCTAGATGCTCTGTGGTGCGATCTGAGGCAATTTCTGACAACTTTAACCAATGTTTTTTGAGGAAAAGATGGTGGTGTACTCATTGCCTGCCTTTATTGCGATGTCACATAAAAAAAAAAAAAATTGGTTTCGTTTTGGGGGGGGGGCATGGCCCCCTTTGGCCCCCCCCCCCGGATCCGCCCTTGCCCTGTATTTACTCAAAATGGTGTGATTTCTACTTCACAATAGTAGTCCTTGAAATCAGAACAGGGTGATGAATGGACTTTTTGCCTAACATATCTTGTTATCCCTCTTCCTTGCTACAATATGAGTACAACCTACAACAACAACCAATTATACCATTGGCCTCAATCTTGTCAAACCGCAGGTGAACACGAACGGCGCCATATCATTTCTCATCCAAGTTTCGTCCTACACCCCGACACCATTTCCACTTGGCGGCGGCAGGCGAGTGGTGGCGCCGTTCTGGGGTGACGTGGATGCCAGATATGGCGGCAACGTGACCTATCGTGAACTTATCCGTGTTCCTCAGAGTGATCAGCTGTTCTCGCAAGCGGATAGTGTCGTCAGAGGAACCTTCGTTGATCAGTCGAGGTTCTCGGCCACCTGGATGTTCATCGCAACCTGGAACAAAGTGCCCTTCTTTGGAGCAATTGGGCACAACGCCTTGAATATAGTGAGTGTGGCTCATATTCGCGTAGGATGGCGCCTATCTATTAAGACATTGTCTAGACCTAGGCCTTAATATGACAATATTAAGTATTTTATTAAATATTGATATTAATATATTGAACGAAGACTAGGCAGTTTTGACTTTTGTCCACGATCATTGGTGTTTTTTATGTGAATAACGATGATTTGGGGGCATTTGTTTTAGTTTGGTAATGCTCGCTTACAGTAAAGCACAGGTAGACATGTAAATGATTGAAAAAGAGCCGGAATTTGGTTTCGATAATTTAAGCTGTTGCTTTTTAAGAAATATAAAGCAATGGCGCAGACCAATTGCAAATTACTTCATTATTGGTATATACTTGAATAACACACACACCCTGCCGGCCAAATGCGCACGAGAAATGAAAACTCGTGGTAAACCTTTCTGATAGAGTTCCTCATCATTCATAATACGTTCTTAATGAAAACTTTATTTTGGAAATAATAAGCGATTGTTTGTGCTTTTGATCTGCTGACGTTGCCCTCGGATACCAGCGAGTAGCATTGGTGAACATAAAACTGTGTTTTGTTTGAATAAACCATGTTTTACTTTATAGACAAACACATTTCAAGCCGTTCTGGTGACCAACGGAAGACACTCCTACGCCATATTCAATTACGAAGAAATCAAATGGACTACTGGTACAGCAAGCGGTGGCAACAACGTCGGGCTTCAAGGAACACCCGCGCAAGTATGATTTTTATATTCTTAAAACCCTTTTTTTTGGATAGCAAGAAATGTTTGTTTAGAACATTGCGTTTAGACAACTATTCAACCCTACTTCCGGCGTTTGAAAAGAGATTGAAATTTGAAAGGTGCTAGTATATGCCGATATAAAATATAAAGAAGCAAGAGTGGTCGGTGATAGTTCTTGGTAATTGGTCTGAAAAGTTATCCAGTTGTAAAACGTTTTCTGGAAACAAATTGTTTTAATGAACGAAATCCAAACTTTGTAGATAATCAACTTGATCACCGGATGTTCTCCCGCTGCCCTTTGTTTCCCTCAGTGCAAAGGTTGAACATTCAGGTCATACGAATACTGCTGCTTCTGGGCCTACTACATGTACTAATACAAAAAAAGTCAATGACTTTGGAATCACTTTATTTCTTTATCTATTAAGGTTGGGTTTAATGCTGGCGATGGCTTCACATTCTACGCTGTTCCTGAATCCAGGACAAACGCAATCGTTGACATCGATCAAGATTCGAATATTGGCACCAGAGGGCGCTTTCTGTTCCGGATTGACAGCAGTGATATCGTCGATTCTGGCTGCAACACTGCAGGTGTGGTCACTTGTTTGAAATTAAAGGGCTCATGAAGTGAATATTTCTGAGGAACATTTTTTTGTGCTACTTTCTATTCCTCTTAAGTGTATAGAAACTTATTCATATTCCTTTTTGGTTAATTTTGTTGAAAAGTGCACTACTTTAAACATTTAAAATTGTCCATGCTTTTCCGGACAACTGATGGGGCTGTTGTCGTTATTTCATTTCAGGAAAACACTGTTCATATTAGGTGTTTTTCTGTTGAAATAGTGAACCCACAAAATGCTCATTGAAAACATTTGTGAGAAAAGTTTGCTCATTGGCATTGGCTTACTGCCATGAACTGACACAACAACGAATCACTAATGAAAAGAAAGTTTACGACAGCGAAATATCCAAAAATTTTGCAACTTTTTGTGCATAGGCTATTGCAACATTGAGGTTTCCGCCTGGGATAGGACATCACAATTTTGCTCATGAATATGGACATTCGCATTAGCATAAAAACCAAAAAGGCACCAAAATACCCTTGAAAATGGCAAAATAAAAATTGAAAATAAGGTTAAAGGGACACAAAGGTGCATTTTCAAGGATTTCATTAAAAATTACATTTCATGGGCCCTTTAATCTTTTATCAGATAAATGCTGGGTTCAATACCGTTTTGACTATGGATTCGTCGATTTCATTCGCACGTTCAAGTTGAATGTTTCTTTCATTTCCGAGTATAAATAACTATTGTGTCTTTATTCGTAGACAGGCTGTTATAATTGTTTGGAACGGATACACAATTGTATTTAACGAGATCAACAAGATGCACCTCCATTGTTTTACTTCATATTCAGGGACTCTAGCTGTCTTCCCCGTTTCTGGCTCAATGCTCGGCGGAGATATTGTCCACATTTCCGGACCGTGTCTCGACGAATCCTCCACAATCGTGTGCCGATTTGCTGATGTTGAAGTACCCGGGCAGGTGGTTTCTAACACCACAGCCAGATGCGTCAGCCCACTAGTATTTGAAGTCGGTCGTCTGCCACTAAAAGTGTCAACTAATGGCGGCGAATCCTTCGATTTCACTGGAATATTCACCTACCGTAAGTGTTTGTATCAAAACTTGAGTGAATATCGAGTCCTTAGAGAAGCATAGATATAACAAACTTCAAAATAGGATCGTCTGCAATTTTAGGGGGGGGGGAGAGGGGAAAGTAAATCATTATTATTGTTAAGCTATATGCTTAGGTCTCGATTTGTTTGCAATTATATTTGTCTTCTCAAATTACTGTCGTAGTGCCTGCATCTTTCAGGCTAAAATGGTACCACGCTTCTGAACAAAATAAAAGTTGGCAATATAAGGTGAAATTTAACATATACAAAATTTTACAAACTGTTTATAAGAATTCAAGAACCTGACCGCAGTTCATTTCTGTTTGGATTGGTGTCCACGCGTATTCTTTTAGTGTAATTAGTTTCTATACTTACCGTAATTTAGAAAGTGCAAAGGCCATTATAAAAGGGTTTTTTTGTAAACCTTTCCACATCTTCAGTGAGCCCAGAAGACGTTTCTCCATTTGTCAAGAGACTCGATGCTGCAGAATGGCACCAGAAAGACCCACTGATCGTTGTTTGGGATACCGAGTTATTCCAAGAATATGTGGACTATGTTCGGATCTCTGTCTATGGTTACGGGGAGGATCTGGCAACGGGGGCGGTGAAGCTTCAGTCGGTATACAGCAGTAGTCAAATGGTGCCGTACAACGTAGGCGTATTCAGATTCAGCCGCCCTGAAGCCCCAGATGGAGTCCAATACACAGTGGGTGTTGTCCGTGTTTCTCAGTACGGAGCAAAGGGTCAAAATGAGCTGTAAGTAGTCCAACATTGTATTTTCCCACCAGTTATAACCGATACAAATGCCCCGTTTAGGAATATCAATAGTTCTATCTTCTTTTTTTTTTAAGTATTCCCACCCGGTCTCTCTAGGCCTACTAGCCTACTTGTATCTTTGAGAGAGTCTGAGGTTGGGCGCGTTGTTTCAGGGGTCTCTCGGTTTTGATACGCCAGATTTTATACAAATCGATGGAATATCAAGGGAAATGTTTACAATCGTCAGATTAATCATCGATTATTTCTGTAACTGCAGGACCCTACCAGGGATGTGGAGCGACATCCACAACCTCCACTGGCTCTATCCAGTCCCTGACCCTTCAGCATGGTGTGATGGTTGGGCGGAGGAGGCTAGATCGGACTTGGACTTCCTTGAAGTGACTGAGCCGTGCCCCTGCACGCTGATCCAGGCTCTTGTTGATACCGGTCGGTTTAGCCAGCATCCTCTCTGCAGCCTGGATGCACCACTCGGTTGTGAACTCTTCAAGCCTGGAGCTGTACACTGCGTTAGAGCCGACTCACCGAGGTAGGTCGGAGTCCTTCTATCCAAAACCCTGCCTTTGTAACTTGACCAATTGATAGGTTTAGTGTTTACTGACAAAACACAGCAAGAAAAACAATTAAATGTTTCTTATTGTTTGATTATCTGATATTTCATGACTAGTGAATAAGGTCTAATGACCATTTAATAACATAAAGTGTGTGTTTAAAGCCATTCGAAAAAAAATAACATTTTGAGGATATTGTTACAAATGAAGCAGTAACCCAAGTTACCTTAAAGGTAGCGTCCGTTATTTGTAATTTGTGCATTATTTTCGTTTGAAGCGACAAAAGTGATCAAAATCTAGAGAAGGTCCGCTCACTGAACCGACGAATTACAGCATGCGCGGGTGCGTCGTGTCAACGCTTGCACGCGCTTCGCCGAATAAAAACTTGAACTGCTCACGGAAATGTCCAACAATTCGTCTTTAGACGCATCGTTGGAAAGGCCTTCTTTTTTATTGATTTCTTCAAAATGACAGCTCACCAGAAACAATAACTTCACAGGGAGTTTAGTCCCATTACTATCTTTAAACCAAGTATGCTTTTTTGACTATAGTTACGTCAGTTCCTTTTTGGACAGCTACAATCAAATGATGGACCTAGTTTAAAGTTTATACCAGTCAAAAACTTGGTGCAAGATGTTAAAGGTTAATACAATAGTGGGGTCTTAAAGATTGTTGATTTCTAAAACTAGTGCTTTTACGCAACACAGTGACAGTCAATTTTGTTTCCGACAGTGAGAAGGGAGGTGGGCAAGAGTGTTGCTATGGGAACGATGACAAAATTCTGAACGTTTTGAGGTCGTCAGGTGGTGGTTTCGCTCACCGTAGACATCACGGAGGAGTTGTTCCATATAAGGTCAGAGTCAGGAGTTTTCCAGGCTTTGTTTAAGTTTAAGTTTATTAAGTGTTTGAGTTTAATCCACTTATATTTAAATAATTAATAAAATATCATTTCTATGGTAACCATTAAGAGTTTTGGTCAAATGGAAACTCAGTAGAAACTCAATAATACTCAACTGTAGGCCATTGAAGTTGAATTGTTACTATAGGTCATGTATGGTTTTCAATGTCAAACTCAATGTAACAAACAACTTCTATTTGGTTTTGTATAAACTGAATGCATAATAACTTAAAGTTGTTTCACTGATTTGAAGGATGCTGGTCGTGTTCCCTACCTCTCTCACTGGATATCTGACACTCTGCCATTTGAGCATTGCTGCGTTTTCTCTGAAGAATCATGTCAGCTGTATAAATTTGTGCGACCTTCCCAGACCTGCGAAGGCTACACAGCGCCTGCACCAGGTAATGCCGCCAAACAAAACAATGTTTTGTGAGTAAGGTTTAAGATTCGATGCTCTCCTTGTCAGTGCTTGTTAAACCACAATTTGCGTTATCTGCTAACCAAAACTTTGCTGTTCTCTAATGTTATAATGAAGATACTGAGTGAAGATCCTGCAAGTTTGAGATATTGAGACCTGGTTTATTTTGAGGCAACGTTGTCCAGGTTGTGTGTACCATTAATTTTAACGCAATAGGAAAGGCGTCCTTTTATTTTTTCAGAGATGATGTTAAAGTGAAGGAAAGGTTTAGCCAAACCAGCCCGAGTTTAATTATATTTACAGGCCTGTGAAAAACTACCCTCACCCTTCTCCTCTGCCTGCTTTGTTCTACAGCAATTACTACCGGTGATCCCCATCTGATTACCCTGGATGGCGTAGAGTACACATTCAATGGAGTCGGTGAATACACCATGCTGGAAGCATGCAATGGTTCGTTCGTTATGCAGGCAAGGATGGCTGTCCTCCAGATAGGTAATTAATATTAAAATATATAGTCTTGCTCTGTAATTAATGCATCGTCAAAGTGTATTGTATGGCCATACACCTGTATCTCAGTGCTAGACTGTGCCCTAATAAGAGCAATTATGCATTGAAATCATTGGCATATTTGGATCCAACTCTGCAAGAGTGGGGGGGGGCAAAAGTGGGGAACTCATTTTCTGGAGGGGCGTATTTAACAACGTCCCTCAAATTCTGAGCCGGGGTACAGACCTATAGAGCCAGCGGCGGCGGAACGGTTTTGAAACTGGGAGGCATCACCAAAAAGGGGCACTTGCTCAGTAAAAGGCATCTTCTATCGGTGCAGAAGCGTGTCCAGCATTTTTTTTTTGGGGGGGGGCACATTCGTGATGAAATGTCGATACGGTTTTTTTCACACTTGGCCTCCGAAAAATCAAATAGTGTTTGGGGGGAGGGGGGGGCTGGTACCATCTTCCAAAATAGGGGGCCATCTTCAAAACCGGCCATTATGCAAACTACGCATTATGTGCCCATTTTCAAGGCGCATTGTAAGGGTTTTGTGGCTTGGTTTTCATATTCCTCGCTCACATCAGAACTCACTACTATACCATTTTGAGAAATGGTTACTGAAAACAAATTCTCAGAAATTTTAGGAGCAGTTTTGTTTTCATCGCAAGGGGGCACATTTCTCGAGGGGGCACATTTATTTCCGCAAGATAAATCTGGGAGGGGGAGTTTTCCGCCGCCCCTGTACAGATTAATATGACCCCTCCCCCTATTTTCGCCACTAATTCAACTTCCTGAAGGCAAACATACTCCTTCAGAATAATGCAGTAATCCCATATCAAAAATTCAATTTCCCATGGTATACTTTCATCGCTACCTCTTAGGAACACCCGCAACTGTTGTAACTGCCCTGGCGGCCGTTGATACAGGAACATCAGATCAGATTCAGGTTGAGGTTAGCAATCGGCGCGGTATGGATGTTTGGTATCGCCAGGAAGGAAATGGAAGTGACTGGACTATGCTAGAGTTTGACGACTCCCAGAGTCGACGGGTAGATCTGGAAGGTGAGGTTATACAAAAGACAAAAACGGTGCTGGTAGTTCCCAGCACAACATTGTAACGCTTAAATTCAACACCGTTTCGACGAAGTTACGAATCGGATAGGGATGTATAGTCGATTCCATCACAAGTCACCACACGTCCCCACAAGTCCTCCAGTCCCATTTCAAAAAACAAGCTATTCAAATGAGTTTTGACAAAGGCATTCCTTCGTTATTGTTCATCCATTGTTTCTTGTGACTGGACTTGTGAATGTACTCGTTAATTACTTGTTACTGGACTTGTGATGGACTCGACTACATCCGTGGAATCAACCAAAACAGAACACAGCTTAAACCGAGTTTTGAGAAAATCGCTTTGAAAGTTGGTCGATTTTTCGAATTGCGATTCTGTATGCATTGTACTTTACAAAACAGTTCGTCACTTTATCCAAACGTAAATTAGGAAAACGTACACATTCACCATGCATGTACACAAAGTCGCCACTTCGTAAAAACGCAAAGCATGCGCGCGTGGATAAAATGTGTACATTCGCGGCATGGTACGCAGATTCGTCACCTTGCCAACACGCTTTTTCAGCTGCAGGCTATGCTCTGGCACTACTGTAAACCATTATACATGTACAAAATGACCAATCGAAACACTATTTTAGTCGGATTCGTCACTTCGTCTGAACGTTGACGAATTAAGTCATGATACCATGAGGAATTGAGGATACAATATCGGGTTTTCCGTGGACTGCCTTATTGTCCTTACATGTTCGGTCAAGACAGTTAAGTCAGGTGAATCAATACTTCCGACCGGAGACCAACTTGTTTCCATCCCTGCACTAAAACCATAAAAACGTGTACATAAAGAATAGCTCCTTATCGCGAAGCCTCTTAAAAGTGTGGCACATCGATGTTCCCTCCTCGCAAATAGTTTTCAAGAAAATGGTTGTGCCGATTGTGGTCTCGTCTCTTTCTGAGATTACACAATTTGGCTCGTATGAACTGCTCTAAAACTATCGAAACTGATCGTTCTTGCGTGTTTGTAGGTGTGGCGGTCTTCTACAGGGAGGTAAACAACTCGGGCGTGATGACCAAGAACATCCACGTGAATTTCAAGTGTGGAGTGTCGTTAGTCGTTTCAACTACGTCCGGGTTGCTTAACGTGTTCACCTCGCTGCAGCAGGAACTGAAAGGGCGAACCAGGGGACTGTATGGTAACTGGAATGGAGAGAAAAATGACGACTTCGAAAGGCCAGACGGCACCATTTTACCAGTTGACGCGACCGTGCAAGAGATACACAGCGAGTTCGGTCAGAAATGTAAGCTGTGTTGATATGTTAGGTTGTCGATTTTATTGACTGAATTTTATTTTAGAAGGACCAAGCCAATCAATCGAAAATTATCCATGACTGATATCTGCAGCATACCTTATTGGTACCCGATACATGTACGTGCACCAACTGTGATTGAGGCATGGATCCTTTTGACGGCAATGCAATGAGCAACTCACATAGTAAGACGCCAATGAGTTTGTTGTACGGCTTTTTTTTTCGATGTTTCAAATGACGATCCCGTGCAATGCGATATAACAACCTTTAGTTTATCAATATTTTTCTGCTTTAAGCAGGCATGATAAGACACACACCTATGTCAAAGACTGTGGTATTATTGTTGTTTTGTCTATCAACTCCATTGTCCTGTTATTAACCAGAAAGAAAAAGCCTAGTTCCCAGCATATTTATTATTTGCAGGGCAAATCGAACCAGAGGATTCCCTCTTCAGATATCCCAGAGGCAAGGGTCCTTTTGATTACAGTGATGAGACATTCACACCGAGCTTCATGTCACCTGAGGCAGCTCTCACCGGAGAAGCGCGGGAGATTTGCGGCAATATTTCACAATGCGCTTTCGATTGGGCTGTGACCGGCAACAGTGACATCGCCAGGGCGACTGGGGGCGCTGTTGCTCACTACAGAGCCGCTATTGAAAGTGCATCCATAGGTAATATCAATGTCATGTCATGTATTGTCGAGAGAAAGAAATCATTTACAATTCGGGTGTTCAGAATATTTTGGAAAACTGGAACGCATTTCAGTATTACATTGTGAAATGATTGCTCTGGGCCGACCTTTTGTGAATGTGTCTTTCTTATTCCTATCAGTGATCTGTGGTTCTGTTGCCAACCCAGCAAACGGGAGGAAAGAAGTGTCTCGTGGCAGCGTGGGCGGAGTAGCCAGCTTCACCTGCGATGATGGATACACCTTGCAAGGGGACAATGAACTCGTGTGTCAAGAGAACGGCCAGTGGAGTGGTGAAGTCCCAATTTGTGAAGCATCAGGTTAGGGGAGAGTATAACCTTCTTTGTTTAGTCTACCTTTTAGGAACTTAGATCCTCAAAACAGCCATTTTGGCATTCGCCAAATTTATTGACACGTCTTTCATAGGTTACAAAACACGTATTGGCTTTTGACGTTTGAATATAAACTTAAAGTTATTGTTGACGCTCATCACTGTTGGAAAAGTGAAGACAGTACTAGATAGGCTTGAGGCACATTTCACGAATTTGAAATAGACACCATACAAAACATACTGATACGCGTGTTTCGTTTATTTTTTTAGGGTTGCAGGCTTGGCAAATAGTCGTCATTGTCGTGGTATGTTGCTTGGTGCTGATTGCAGTTGCAGTGATTGTCATCTTGGTTCGGAGAGCAAGGTAAGGGCCTCGATGCAGGCAATATGTGTCCATCTCGGTATTGACGCAGCAGCGAAGTGCAAATAGAAAAAAATTGCTATAGTGAGCCATGTCTTGTCTCTCAATCAGCTTGATAATAGCCCACGGGTCGCACTGATAACAGCACACGGAGACTGATAATCAGCGGAGACTAATAACCAAAAGCAAGATTGATGGGTTTTGTTAAGGAAATTGTCACAAACTTGCAAATTTTTCTTTGGGATGTGTTGGGGGAGTAGGGAATAAAAAAATAAACCTTCAACCATTTTGACTCAATCATTTACGTCATCAAGATTAAATTTCATTCTTTTTTTTCAAATATAATTTTATTGTTCTTTATGGTACAAAATCTCAATATCACACGAAATCTCAAAATCGTTTTCACAGGCTAAATCTAAAACATTTAATGTCAAAAATGAGTAAATAACGCTCACAAACGTCACCGCTACATCAAGAAAGCAATCATGGTCCAAACGCTAATTTAGTTTTTCTTTTCTTTTTGTGGATTTCATCAACACATGAGGAAATCTCCTCGGGGTACTTACATGTGTCCCGTTCCTAACATTGATTCTCCCCTTGTACTAGTGCATGTTGAGTTTTCAGTTCTTTGTATTCCATTTCATTTTGTTCGTGTATTTTTTAGACATGCGCCTTGCAAGATATCTATTCTTATTTTTATTGTTAAAGTCAATTAATCTAGATGAAACATTTGCATGCATTAACTTGGGCGACTTTTTTCGGGGGGGGGGGTGCAAAACTAGTTAAATTTGTTAGCGAAAAATATTATTTCTTCACCGGAAAAAAGTTGTAACAATCACCACAGACTGTATTATGTGTCTCCCCTTGGCATCCTATCGTGACGGAAATACGGATATAGTGAACGTGCATGTAGTACGCTTTATTAAGAATGTTTTTTGGATTAACTTTGTCCAACAGAAAATGAAAATCCGCTGCCCAAGCATGAATCATCAGTGACTTCGGAGAACCTCAAGACGAATATCATTATAGGGTGCTTGGCTTTATTTGAATATTCGTAGTTATATGCTTTTGTTAGTATATGCCTTTATAGTGGATTTTGACTAAAAAGATTACAGTTTGATCTGAGAAGTCGATTAAATAATACTGTCCCTACACTTCAACAAATTACTTATTATTGCTCGTTCCAGTTTGACGACCAATTATTAATGATGTACTTTTTTCGCAATACTCTCAATGAATTTGTTATTTGTTCTGCTTTTCACTTTTAGTGCACAAAAGATATGCCTGAATAATTGTTGGGGGCCAAATTATCCAAGAATTGTATAAGGTTATTATCTCAAACTAGAAGTGTGAAGAATGTTATTTTTCGTGACTATCTGTTCATAATCGAAAAAATGATAAAGTTGCCACACTCGAACTGATTCGGTGTCTTCTCCAAGTGGCCGATCCAGTAAGCCCCGTCCCCTGGTGTCCTGACCAATCACAGCCGTGATTTACGTCTGACATGCGCGCACATATTAAGTCCGACATGCGTGCACGCGCGTATGACGCGCGTGGCTGGAACATGAAGTGTAGCATTGGAGAGGAGCACGTGTTACTTGCCAACGTGCGCAGTGGGCGGGGCTTACTGGGTCGGTCTGGTTCTCAGACCAAACTTGAGGATCTATCTGATGAATGTAAAATTCGTCAGAAATAAAAGTCGGAATCTTTTGAACTGGGAACCAGACTATGGTCTCCCCCAACTCTCCCTTTCTTGCCGGTGAGGGGATAGGCTATTTGTGAACGAAGCTCATACGGACAGGTTGATTAACGACCTATTTTTATATAGTCTTTTGCTCTTTTCGGCGGTTAAAAAATGGAACACAAAATTCGTTATAGGTCTGCTGAATGAACAGTTATAATATAAACGCAGGAATATCGCCTTTACGCGATGTTTAATGCAGTATTTTGTATATATTTTGTAAGACGTGTGGTTTGCGCTTATTTTATGTTTATTTAATTCAGTGTACTTCACTGGGCTGGGGTGATTAAGTTAGAAGACTGTCATTATAAAGGTTAGATAGAACATGGAGGAAGGAAACAATACCAATATGCGTTATTCACGAGTCGGTAATATTATACTGAGAGCGAGGTAAAATCTTCACTTTTGGAACTTGCGAATAAAAACTGAAAGCAATGAAAAAAGTAAATTACAAATTAATAATAGTCTACTCTGATGAATACATGTAATTTAAAATGTGTGAATTAATAATGTAATGCTGCATTTTGTAATTTATAAACGGTATATGCTCTTCCTCACAACTTGAGGCGTCGTCAGTGTGTAATCACTATAGACTAACACTCTTTAAGTTTAATAGCTATATGTACAGATTTTATAAAGGCAAAAACATGTACAAGTTACTGATAATGTAAGTGCATTAAGTATAGCTTTCAGGTATACAAAGAAAACCGCACAAAAGTGAGTTATCCACAAAAAGGTAAAATTGTGGTCCTTGTAGCAGCCCAAGATCAGATCACTGTTTTGTTCGTTTGATTGGTGGTACTTCATTGAAAAAAACTGTGAATCAGCTAATTAATTTAGAACAACGTGTCCCTGAATATCATATTTCCTTGCAGCAACAATAGCCATGACAAACAACACTTCTCAACTGCCACTTCATCAACATGTACGGTACAGCAAACAAATGCAAAATTGGCACGGCATAACACAACACAGTAGCACAGCACGGCACGGCACGGTGATACAGCATTTCAACACCCAAAATTAAAATATCAATGTATAATGTACATAATAGACACTCTCCGTAAATCATTCTGCCAATCCAAATGAACGATTTTCCAATCCTACAAAACAGCATTCGGTCAAAGTCAAGACGTCATAGACACACTTATCTAAATTCTAAAATCAGAATGAAATCAAACTCTAACATAACATTACGTGCACTCCCTGTAAAACATTCGGCAATTCAAAATGAAAGATTGTCCAAGCCTTCAAAACGGCAATCCGTCAAAGCAAGACATAAACTTACTTCTATTTCTTTTATCAATATCAATGTGCATGATATAAAATCTAAGTGTGCAAGATATATAATTATCGCTCTTTCTTAGAAAGTTCTGCAACTGTTTACAAAACTACTAAAGTGCTTTTAAACAGCAATGAATCTAAAAATAAAAAAATCTGAAAAACTTGTTGAAGACACAACGAAATGTTCACTTGTCAGACCCATAGATAACTAGAAAGCACTCAGAGAGCGCAAACCTCCGCCAAGGCTAAACAATTCTCTGCCATAAAATAGTACACCCAAAAGAAATACTTGCATAAAATTTGTTGAAGAATAAAAAAAAAACCAAATCATGGATCGAGACCCATATCCGGATCACTTCCAAAATCCAATCGATTTGTTCTTGTACCAAGGACCACCCATTAAGAGTTTTCACGGAAATCCGTCCATAACTTTTTGAGTTATTTGGTTTAAACAGACAAACCAACCAACCAACAAAACTCGATGAGAACATAACCTCCTTGGCGCAAGGGCGGATCCAGAACACAATTTTTTGGGGGGTCCCAAAAAAATTTGGTCCCCCAAAAAAGTGGGTACAAAAAATTACGGCGTGGGGTTCGGGGCCCGCTTAAGGGCCCCGAAAAAATTTTGGACTCTAGATGCGCTGTGGGGCGATCTGAGGCAATTTCTGACCACTTTAATCAATGTTTTTTTAGGAAAAGATGGTGGTGTACTCATTGCCTGCCTTTATTGCGATGTCACATTAAAAAAAAAAAATTGGTTTCGTTTTTTTTTGGGGGGGGGGGCCATGGCCCCCTTTGCCCCCCCCCCCCCCCCCGGATCCGCCCTTGCCTTGGCGGAGGTAATTATTGACCAGGTTGTTGCCCCGTTTGTATTTCGCTATCTGGATTCAAGGGGGCAACTTTGGACTTTCCCCAACATTTGGCCACGACAACGACAACGACAAGGATGAGAGTTACTGCTCCAGCCGCTGCGATGGCGATGATAGCGTCCATACTTATAACGCTGGTATCCCTAAGATCAGGTGTTGTAGTGGAAGTTGATACACTGGTTGAGGGGTTGATGGTAGCTGCGACAAGCCAAAAGTTTGATAGGAATTACTAAACATGAAAAACAACAGTCTACCTTTGCAAACAGCATTACTAGGCCTACTGAAAGCTCATGCGAATGCACTTCCAACGTGTGACACATATTATTTGACAATTTGATCTCCAGCACTCACGAACAATGTAGTAGTCGAACCCACCATAAGTCCTTCCCAAGTTCGATTGCAGGTCAATCACAGGTCAATAATCCGTATTTCTGATTGAATTAGGACGTCGCAACAGCGCCATTTTCGGGGTACAAAACACAATGTGAATCCCAGGTTATCGACGTAATATGTTGCTATTATTTAGAAAATTACTTTTTTTAGATCTTTTATTTTAGATTTAAATAAAGTTGCTTAATTGATTCAATAACGTTGTATTTCCACTCTTGGTACCCAGAAATGGCGTTTTACAGCCCCTTCGTTCGCTAACAAAAGTCCGATCACAAGTAATAGAGCATGAAAAATATAGGATTTTATTTTCCTATTGGTCATTTGAATAGCTTGTGACTTGACTTAGGACTGGATAACAAATTTAATTGGATAACATTTATAACTGTATTTCTTAAAAAATAATGTACTGCAGAATCAATTATGGTTTGAACTATTTGAAATATAGACTTTAAAAAAAATGCTAAAATTATCTGGTAGGTCTGTGGTTTATTTATGGAAAATTGTCCTATCTCGTTTTATTTGTAAACATTGTAAAACTTGCTTGGACGAAACACATACAGTGGAATTCAACTCTTACCTGTGTCACAATTGCTCCCTATGTATCCTTCCGTACATCTGGAATTACAAAAAATACATAATGCACCATCAAGAAATTTCACTTTTCGAATATAGTTTTTGTTATTCAAATCATTACGTCCTTTGCTTATTTGATGGGTTCTGTGAACGTGACAACTTAATCAGTGGTCGAGATGCGGACTAAAATAGCCTCAAACCACTGTTCTCATCTGACTGGCAAAGTAAGGGGCAGATTGCATAAATCTCCATTTGTAATATCATTAATGTTTCTAGACACAATAGGCCTTTCCCGATCTAACTTCTCGCCCCGTCGTTATTCCCCCCCCCCCAAAAAAAAATAATAACAATCTGATTTAAAAGGCTGCATTTCCATCCTTACTATGGTCTTTTGTCATGAAAGGCACACATCTTCCCAAAATGCCCTTGACGAGCTCGAAATGATCTGGGAAGCTGCGGCGCAACTTGTAGCATATAAGTCATGTACATTTGTAAACGTTTGTCCTATAATGCACAACTAGTCACGTGGTCGTGACTGTCAATTGAAAAAGATTCTCATTTTGTTGGAGTCAGTTGGTGCATGAAGCGTTTCATAGCACGTGGGACACCCAGTTTTGTGCAGTAGGGACCTACTACAGTGCCAGCCCCAATGTGAAAATGAATTGGTAGCTGGTCAGTGGAGACCTATGAAAGTGTCACATCACAGGGCCATGAACCTGAATAACGTGTTGTTCCGAGGGCCTAAGGGACAGGGTAATTGATTTCCATACACGTTTGCTGACGTTTGTTACTAACCAACCAACCGACAGAGAGACATGAGTACTTGTTGAGCTGCTATTTCGCAGCTAAAGGGGTCAAGCAATATTAAGTTTGATAGTATCCCTGCAAATGTTTTCTATTCAACATGGAAAGGGAAAGAGGGTCTGCGTTCAGAATCACAGTGCATAAGATGACTTCGTAAGCAATAGCATGAGAGATAATTTGTGATGGGATATGTCTACGAAAAATGGTTTGGACTTACGTGCATTCTATTTCATCATTGATAATTGAACAGGTACCGCCATTTAAACAAGAGTCGAACTCGCAGAAAAGAGATAATTCTGTATTGAAACAAGACGAATGGCAAAGTGTTTGTGTCAGACAATTAAGTTTGCTAATTCCGATAAATAAAAGTCACTTTTTACTTGAACTGTACTTGCAGGCAATCTACAATGTCCGTTTTCGTGTTCTTTTTGATTTGTTGGAAAATTCCAAGACCTGAGCACATGTTGTGTAAATGTTAATTGTATCCTCCCTGAAGTCTTATCTTTCATCCACACTGCTGTTCATTCAATGTACACAAGATATCTTAAGTGTATAAACTGATAAGAAAAAATATAAGCGTATCAAAATTCACCAATTATCTTTCTCAATATACATGTTCCGTTTCGAGAGTACACTCTAGACAAGAAATCATAATTTGCAGGATTTTTAATTTTAAGGTCGAGTAAAAATGGCTTACCAAATATGACTGAAATTCCGCGGTAAGTGTGAAATACCAAAAACCTGTACGAAATCGGTCTTTTTAAATGAATGTATATGTTTGTCACGTACTAGCTCTCAAAGACACTGAGCGTAAAATAAACTGCTTTATTAGCAAAGAAAGCATTTACAGGCCTTCCACGAGAAAACGATCCCCAACGTGCGTACCGACTACGACAACGGTTCCCAAGTCCAATTCCAAGAGGGCTGAGTTGCCAGAAAAGTAGTTGACAATTGCTTCTTGAACCACATCCTCAGTCACATTCGATGTGTCCGGGAAAAGTAACAGAAATTCCACGTCAATGCTCCCGTTGGTGAAGCCCAGCACTTTGCAGGTAGTTGCATCACTTGATTCAGTCAGGACCTGGGAACGAAATGAGCAAAAGGAGGAGTACAGATACAAGGCTACTGAGATGCAAGACTTGAGTCAATACGGAATTGCTTAAGTCGGTATCTTAAATAATAAGTAAAAAACAAATTAGTTTACATCTTTCCAGAAGACGACAAGGTACACTTTAGCATGCGTTCCACTTCAGTGCCGTATAACAATGCGCGAACACTGCATGTACATTGTACAAAATTAATGTACATGTGTGTGTGCATGTACAGAGCATGTGCATACATGTGGTGCAAGAGTTGCTGTATTACTTGAAAATATTATGTACATGTACGTTTTTAACATGATGATGGTCCGGATTCGACGCATGAGGGCGCGCGTTATGCTGTACGGACGTACGTATGCGCTATGCGTGAATTTAATACAGGCACAGACTGAGCGCAACCCAGACTTGGGCCAAGTCTAGTGAAATGCGCGAGGAAGAATTTCTGACCATTCAAGTCATCCAGTGCAAAAGAAATTGCCAATAAATATAATTTTAGAATTTTAGACGAAAAATAACGCAGCAGGGAATACACAATTCAGAAAACGAAAGGACCGGCCAATTGACATGGTGTCCGACCTCCCTCTCAGTCCTGAGAGTTTCAATATTTCTTCCTCATCATCCAATAGTTGCCGATAACCCAGGCCATCGAAGGACTCAATAGCCCTTTATCATGCTGCCAACATTTCATTCATATTCCCTTTATCCAATCACAGTACTGAATGATAATGTTTTTTGTACAAAAAGGAACCAGACTATTTTTCCATCCAGCCTCGCGTTGGTTATGTTGATTTTGAATGGGAAAACATGAAGATGGCCGCAAGATGATAATGGCCTATAGAGATATTAGCCAATTACCATCTGGAGTATATATATATTCATATTAGTGCTGTAGTTATGAGTCCACTTTTAAGATATCTCCTTTTTTAAGCAAAGGGACGCTGTGTTTATCATGAGGTTTGAATACTTAAAGATTGATTTCCTCTGAGCGTTGTTTACTTACTTCCTGCAACTCAGTCGATAACGTTGTGAATTCCACTGAGGACGTGTTCCGGAGATCTTCCGTGAACTTTGCCACTGTTCCATTGATGCGGATAACTTTTAAGCTTCCTATGAATCTATGAAGCTCTGTTCCGTTTAAAGGACAAAAAAAAAATATTATTTGTAAAAAGCGGAAATATTTAATTTTAGTCAATTCAGTAATACCTAAGGTTGAGAAAGAAATCAAAATGGCGTTTTATATTAAGTTAAAAACAATGTTGTTTACAATGTTTTCAAAGTACCTATTTATTTATTTCTAATTATATCATACATCATACAACAGCGCAAACGCCAAAGACGGATGGATAATTGATTAATTTACAGTAAAGAAATATAAATTAGCAAATTTGCATAATTATCAAGACATCAAAACATTAAATTAATGATACAAAAAAAAAATGCACAAGATGAAACAGGCTCACTCTGTGCTTGACTATCAAAACATGATCAAGTCTTGGAAACCAATGCGTCATTTTCTTGGATATTTAAAGTCCTGTTTTACAATAAATGAATGAATAATGTTTAAAATAATGAAACAAATGACATGAAAAGCTTTTTATCCAGGCTTTTTATTTTGGTCCCATGTATCCGGGCATGGAGTCGCTGTATGGTCACGGTGGTCATCAGTTTCGGTGAGGGATGCATTGTGCCGGCTAAAGTACAAAACAAACCACTCATGACGGTTACTGAACTGGACTAGCGCTATGCCTACACCATTGATGGGGGCTACACCATTGATGGGTCATCGTGAGTGTATAGTGACTGTGTACCTGAATTGGTCTTGCACGTCTGGTACTTCAACCAGAAAAGAAGGAACAGGCGTCTGCTCATGTGAAATCAACCGGATGATTGCTCAACAAGTACTTACTCTGACATCGGGCATTATGCAGCGTCCACCCATCCAGACAGTTCTCACAGTGTGACTGTCCAGGCCTGTCGTGAACACAGTCCACAAAACTCCGATTCCTACAGGATTGCTTAACGGTGCTGTCCAAGCAAGGGAATATTTCTGAGAAACAGGTAAATTAAAGAGAATACAATGATACCAAATAATACCTGTAAGTGACATCTGATTCACTATACACTACGAACACATGGCATTGTGGATTGTTTATCTCAGATAGTTCAAATGACTGGATGTGCCAGTTGTTGGTGATGTGAGGTGTAGGCTCCAGAATGATGTTACTTGAACTGAGAAGGGTTATATAGGATTATACCTCTAGGCCTATATAAATCCAATCTTTAAAAAGTAACACTGATTCCAGATTTCGGAGCCAGTAAAAGGGAGGTCGAGTGTTCGAATCCCACCGGAGTGAGCTTATGACTTTTCCACAAGCCCTTGAAAAGCACGGAGTATACACGTACACAGTTCACGAAATAATGTCCGGCCGAAGGTCCGGGTAAACAGCTTAGATTGAAAATATGATACTTTCCATACACTTAGCCAAACGTCATAGTCCAACGTGAACTTATGTTTTCGATGATTGAATATTCTTTGCTCCGTCGACCTGCTCTTCTCAGTATCGTAATATAATGGACAAATGATGAGTGTCATTGTTAACAGGTCATTTCACATGCCTGAATTCTTGTATTGCACCTCTTTGAAAACTGATATCAAATCTTGACAATTGCTTTTCCAATCAGACAACGCTTGAGATACCCCGGAGCACGTAGTCATGCATGCATCTCTCAATAGCCTTTATTGCAAAGCTTTAGGGCCTGCTGTCTTGGACAGTATTCATGCGCTGTCCTGACGGCATTCCTTCTTCATACGGTATAATTACCTTCACACTGGGTAGCGTTTGTCGTTTTCTCGTAACCATCTTCACAGTCACATCGGTAGGAGTTTAGGGTATCTGTGCAGACAGCATGCTCCCCACATATAGCCAATTCATTAGCACATCTAGCCTCAGCATCTTCACAGACAAAAAGGAATGTGAGCTTTTCACTTGTGAGCTTATTAAAATCATAATTTGGGAGTATTGTACTTGCCACAAGCCTAACTGTTAAATGATTGCTGTAGACTACAGGATTTCTGCTTTTTGCCGTGTTTCAAATTGGTTTTGTTGTTTACGGTATTGGAGACCACTTCACAATCACTTTTCAGGGTAGAGTTAAAATTAAGCTAATTCATAATAAATTTATTTATTCTCTTAGCATAAATATTGATAAATGAGACGATGAAGACATGAAAGTTTCTTGACCGAAACATAAATGTCTAATTTCAATTCTGGTCAGGCACACAAGATCAGACTGCCTCATCACTGCAGAGCAGGGTCACATGGCTTCAATTATTAAAACCCCTCTCATTTTTTTTTCAGAAGAGATTTGAAAACATGGAATATATGTGATGATAATTCGCTTTTATGCCTACCAGTTTGAGTATTGGAGACTTGTGTGGTGACGCCCATCATCTCAGTACTTGCCTCAATCCCTGATTCAGTGCTCATGTCTGTCAATGGGTTCTGAGACGTTGCAACAAACTGCAAGACCTCATATGTTGCATAGCCTGTTGAGTCAGTTAACCAGGCTTCGGTAGTTGTTGATTCCATGGTCGAATGATCATCCATAGTGGCAACCTCAGATTTGGTTGACATGGATTTGTCAGTAGTACTTTCTTCTGTTGTAACTTCACTGGTAGGGATAGCTGACTCTGCAGGAGACGTTTGGGGATCAACTGGGGAAGTTTCAACTGGTGTATCGATGGTGGAGTCATCAGATGAACCCCCAACTTGGGTGACTGAAGGGGATTTGACTGACCCACTTTCTTCCTTGTTAGTTGTAGGTTGTATAGAGGTAGATGATGACGTAGTGCTGACTCGCTCAAATGGCGGGCCCATGTTTGTAGCATAAAGTGTTTCCGTTGCAGTACCAAACTTAACTTCAGTTGTAGTTTCCGTGGGAGAATGTTCCACTTTCGTTCCGTCTTCAGTAACTGAAGTTGTAACCTCTGATTCGGTGGATGTAGATTTCGTAATGGAGTTTTCTGCTGCGGACTCACTTGTACTAAGTAATTCGGCCTTCGTAGATGTGGATTCAACTGAGGAACTTTCAGCTTGTGTGATGATGGATCCACCTGAAGAACTTCCGGCCTGACTGATTGTTGGGGATTGTACTGACCCACTTTCTGCTTGAATGGTTGCAGACTGTGTGGAGGTAGCTAAGGATTCAGTGCTGAAACTGTCAAATAGTGCGGCTGTGTTATCTGCATCCATCGTTTCTGTTGAGCTACCTAACTTAAGTTCTGTTGAAGATTCCTTGGAAGAATATTCTGCTTCTTCAGTTACTGAATCGGTAACTTCAGATTTGGTGGATTTAGATATCGTGATGTAGGTTTCCTCTGTAGGTTCATTTGTGGTAAGAAACAGGTCGGCTCGGGTAGCTTTGGAATCAACTGTGGACGTTTCAGCTTGAGTAATTATGGATTCTAGGGAAAACCCTTCATCTTGAGTTGTGGGTGAGACACTGTCTGTTGTCTTAGTTTTAGATTCTACGGGAAAAGTTGAATCAAAAAGGAAATTCGTGGACAGGGTTGTTGTGGAATGAACCGTGGCAGTTTCAGCTTGAGTAATTATGGATTCTAGGGAAAACCCTTCAGCTTGGGCAGTTGTGGGTGATTTACTGTTTGTGTATTCTACGGATAAAGTTGTTGAATCAAAAAGGAACTTGTTGGTCAGGGAAGTTGAAGAATCAAAAAGGAACTTGTTGGTCAGGGAAGTTGAAGAATCAAATGTCGCAGTTTCAGCTTGAGTAATTATGGATTCTAAGGAAAGCCCTTCAGCTTGAGGAGTTGTGGGTGAGCCACTGTCTGTTGTCTTAGTTTTAGATTCTACGGGAAATGTTGTTGATTCAAAAAGGAAATTCTCGGTCAGGGCAGTTATGGAATCAACTGTGGCAGTTTCAGCTTGTGTAATTATGGATTCTAAGGAAAACCATTCAGCTTTGGCAGTTGTGGATGAGCTACAGTCTGTTGACTTAGTTGTAGATTCTACGGGAGCAGTTGTTGATACAGGAGAAGTTTTTGAATCAAATTCGTGAAGGAAATTCGTGGTCAGGCTTGTTGTGGAATGAACTGTGGCAGGTTCAGCTTGAGTGGATTCTAAGGAAACCCCTTTAGCTTGGGCAGTCATGGTTGAGCTACTGTCTGTTGACTTAGTTGTAGATTCTACGGGAAAAGTTGTTGATTCAAGAAAGAATTTCTCGGTCGGGGCAGTTATGGAGTCAACTGTGGCAGTTTCAGCTTGTGTAATTATGGAATCTAAGGAAAACCCTTCAACGTTGGCAGTTGTGGATAAGCTACTGTCTGTTGACTTAGTTGTAGATTCTACGGGAGCGGTTGTTAATGCGGGAGAAGTTGTTGAATCAAAAACGAAATTCTCGGTCAGGGCAATTATGGAATCAGCAGAAGGAACTCCAGTCTGGATTGTTGTTTGTGGTGTCATCAATAGACCATCATTTTCAGAAGTTATAGAATCAAGCAAGGTACTCCCTGCTTGGGTAGATGTGAAGGTTGCCAGAGGACGCCCTGTTTGGATAGTTGTTGACTCTGCGGTAATTTTGGATGTAACAGGTTCTGAGGCAGTTGTGAAATCATCTTGTGAAGTTGTAGATTCGAGTAAGGTTCCTCCTGCCAGAGCAGATGTGGATTGGAGTAATGAGCTATCCGTTCCCACAGCTAACTCCGTCGTGTCGACTTCCTGGACTTTGGTACTCGGTTCAACATAGGCTATTTCTGTTGTTGAATCCTGGGTGGTTGTGATCTGTTCACCTATCGAAATATATGATAGAAAACACGATGTTTACTGAACACTGTAATTAGCTTTACTCCAATGTTACCCTTAATACAAATTATACGAGTAATATTGACACCGAATGCTAGGTACACAAAATTTCCTTTATTGAGCTATTTGCATTAACCATAAAATTGTGGCATTACCTTCGATTACGCATCGAACTCCAGCATCTTCCAAATGTCCACAGTCATTTACCCCCAGCCCATCATGCTGACAATCGAAGACTGTTTCCTCGTCACCAGCACACGACACTTCATCAAGCAGTATTTCCATCTCGGAAGTGCCTCCACCAAAGCCAGCGTGAGTCACGGCTTCTATCGCCCCAGGAAAGCCGAGTTGACGACAGATGACAATGGCATCTGTAATGTCCCAGTCATCATCGCAGACAGTTCCCCAGGCACCAAAACCGAACACCTCAACGCGCCCTTCTGACGAATTTGATCCGCCCATCAAACGAACTTGTAACAAAAACCGAAAATGAAATTAATCAAATTTGTGTTTTGTTTAATAATGTAATGTTTTCCATTGTATCATCGATCTCAAAGCGCTTTATAATAATTCCCCCGGTCATCAGGCCGCGACACCACGCGGCAGGCGATATCAGCGTACATTCAGCCTCTACCCTTACAGGTACCCATTTATACTCCTGGGTGGAGAGAGGCAATTGTAGTTATGTGTTTTGCCTAAGGGCACAAACACCATATGTTCCTGGCAGGGCTCGAACCCACGCGCGCATATCGTGCATGAGTCAAACACCATAACCACTGGTACATGATGTCTCACCTTATTCTGTTGGTTTCCCCTGGGGTATCAATTGAGGGTTTTCTGTAACCTCTAAAAAATTAAACTTGAGATTTGCTCTCCACTCTGTTTCTTCAGGATTACATTTCTTTGGATTAGACACTTTCAGGGGCAAGTTTCTAGAAGTGAATAGATAGAGGTGATAGGCATGTGGCGAAGTCCCATTTTTAAGGTTTTTTTTATTTAATTGATGCGACCGTTGGTGGGTGTGACTCTGTCAAAGATTTTATCCGCCTTGTGCAGAAGTACCCCCGGTTGAAAACAGAGAGGCTGTAGGAAGCCATTAAATCGGTTTCAATTTGGCGCCATCGTGCTTTGCGACCTGTGAGCGGCGATTTGTTTCCCATACCACTGATTCGCTATGGGCTGATACTGAACTGAAGCACTATACCGAGTTGCAAGTCAGGTTCTCGGATTTTCTTTCCCTTGAAAAAAATCCTCCAAACCACAACTTGGTGAAAAAAAATGGGAATCGATCTCGCACCACCGGATTAGTAATCCGGTGCAGTATCCACGACACTTCAGCAGTAATTCGATCGAGAAGGAAGTTATATAACCATTACCTTATTGAATGTATAGCGCCTCCAACATATTTATATTATAATAATATCGAATAAGTGGTATGGCCAAATAAACTGCTATAGTGTGAACCAGCGAAGTGCATGCCCCAATAAAGAAGCCACTGTTGCTAGGCAAATTGCGCCCTCTCTTGGTCAAGCACGGAGCTCATAAAACTACACAGCTCTGGTAGTAGCACTTGTCTATAAAGGGGCAGGTTACAGGACTATATCCGTATCAACATGCAGCCTTACACACATTTGTGCATACAATTGGTAGAAGTTCAGAAGGAAATAAAACTACTTTGAAGCACGCAAAGCGGACTGAGCATGCTACTACCTGCAAAAAAAAGTGTATCAAATAACTTGTAATGTTTAAAGAGAGAACGTAAACTGTCTTGTTTAATATAGGAATTATTTTGAGATCTTGGGGTTTCCTATAGATCTTGATAGATTGGGTTTTTGTCACACAAAAGACTTCTGCGTGCCATATGAATTAGTAGTTATGCCTAACAGTGAGATGAATGTATTCTTACCATTGATGTCACATCGAACTCCAGCATCGTCACCATGACCACAGTCATGTATCCCCAGCCCATCATGCTGACAATCAAATATGGTTTCCTCGTCACCTGTGCACGACACTTCATCCAACAGTATTATCATGTCGGAAGCGCCTTCACCAAAGCCAGCGTGAGTCACGGCTTCTATCGCCTCAGGAAAGCCAAGTTGACGACAGATGACAGTGGCCTCTGTAATGTCCCAGTTGTCATCGCAGACAGTTCCTGTGGCACCATGCGATACGATCTCAACGCGTCCTTCTGACGAATCTGATCCATCCACCAAACGAACTGGCAACAAAAACAGTTGATCAACCATGATAACCTGATATCCTTATAGCTACCCTTGAGTTTATTCACGAGGCAACCATATTAAATTGAGGGTGAGGTAAAATCTTCATTTTTGGAACTTGCGAAGAGAAATGAAAGCAGTAACATAAAGTTTATTACAAATAATACCAGCTTGACACCCAGATGTTTTAAGCCACATTAAAAAAAAATCCAAACTAAGGCTAGAATGTATAAATAGTCTGGCACTATCCCATTCAACAGTTCACAATTTATAAAATACATTCAGGAAACACGACCAATGTGGCTTCCTCATGAATATAGGGTCCATGCTTTTTATTTCTTGCCATTTTGGCGATTCTGGCCCATGCACTGTACTTTTTCCACTTGGTCGAAAGCCCGTCATGATTGCCAACCTGATTAAAGGTTGCAGGATTCAAACAGTCACGTGCCCCTCAAAATTTAAAGTAAAGGCAACTGTATTGATGATCTGTGCAGAATGACGGGATAATTCGATTAGCCCTATTTTTGTGCTTGATGTTTCGAATGAATTGAAACATTGGCCCGGAGAACATACCTTCATTACATCTTTTTAAGTTTAGTCGGGACTACTTTAAGAACCTTAAAGCTTCGACCCACAGAATTCAGGTCAAAAAAACCCTCTTCCAAGGTGCTTTTCATAGAGGATTTTCTTTGTTCGTTGATTGCAGTAACTGTTTTATTTTAGTTGTCATGCTCGACTCATATCAAATACTTTTGAGACGATTGTTGTGACTGGCAGAATTGACAGAAACATTAACAATTGCAGTGCAGTGGTCACAGAATGTTATATTGGAGACGATAGTGTTAATGATAAGTACTGTGATGATAATGACGTTCTGGAGATGTGAAGAATAGCAACAGTTTTTTTAAGGATTACAAACTGTGAAGCTACTGTGTACGCATGGTTCAAGTCTAGTCTTCAAAAATATCAGGTACAAGAGTAAAATGCAATGGATAAACAATAATTCTCAATTCAACTGTTTGATTTTAGACCTTTTCTATACTCAAGAAAATAGCATTGTGGCGCAATACGAAAGTTGAGTTTAAAAATATACCGCAAAAAAACTGCTTAGAATAGTTGTACTGAAGATTATTTAGGAGCTTCGTACAAAGTATATTGTATCTGTCTACCTGTGCACTTGATTGCAAGAGAAGACATGAACTAGCACATACGCTGTATTTCAATGAGTAAATATTTCAACATCTTGCGCTGTCGATGTAAATACAAACAACTGATATGTGTAATACGGTCAACCTCCCAAATATTCAATAAACACCTTGATAGCAGTTAACGAGACACAACTGTGACATTACCTTTGATTACACATCGAACTCCAGCATCGTCACTATGTCTACAATTAGTTATCCCGACTCCATTATGCTGACAGTCAAATATTGTTTCCTCGTCACCTGTGCACGACACTTCATCCAGCAGTATTTCCATCTCAGAAGCGCCTCCGCCAAAGCCAGCGTTAGTCACGGCTTCTATCGCCCCAGGAAAGCCAAGATGACGACAGATGACAATGGCATCTGTAATGTCCCAGTTGTCGTCGCAGACAGTTCCCCAGGCACCTTGAGAAAACACCTCAACGCGCCCTTCTGACGAATCTGATCCATTCACTAAACCAACTTAGGAACAAAAGGAAAACGAGAAATCAATTGCATTTGATTTTGGTTTCTGGTCCTACCTGATTTTATTTGTTTTCCCTACGGTATTTTTTTTTTGGGGGGGGGGCTCTTCTAAGTCTATGTAGTAGAAAATGCCGTGGTCTATGATATGTGAGCAGATTCGCTGATTAATTAGGCAAGACAACCGCCTCTTAATTGACCTCTAGATTTTGACCAATCAGCGGGGCGCTTTCTATATCGGGTCTTCGGTCTTCACCCGTTGCGCGTCATAGACAATGGTAAAAAACCTGTGTCACGCGCTCTGTATCATGTTACGCAATAATGCGCCCGGCTGTTGTTGTATTACAAAACACTGCGTTGGAATTGACCAACCAAAGCATTTAGTCCTGATTTGGGAATGAAATGACATCACGATTTAGTAAAGTCGACTCCGATTTGCTGGCGCGCGGCTTGCATATATCTGCATGTCTAGACCATAGACATATAATATCTATGGTCTAGACATATCAGACGTTATACAGGGGGCTCTTGGCTCCGTGGATAACGGGTGATACCATAGGGTCTTCTCTGATCTGTAACTTAAACTGAACAACTCTACGAATGTTTTCTCTCCACTTTAAATTTCTTCAGTGTTAAAGTATTGTTCAGGCGGGTACGTTGAAAATTGTGTTCATTTATAGGGGGGTCTCTGGCTTTTGGGGCATTATAAAAGTTATGAACTTTCCAATGGGACATTGATCGAAAAATGGTTACGTCACCTTAGAGTTGCGTTTTCCCCATACGTTTTGTACACGTATTCGTTTAACCATGCACTTTGGCACTTTCTTAAATCTAATCGACTTTAGACTTGGCACATACTTGGACTACCACCCACAGATGGTCCTAGAAGAAATTCGTCGTCGTGACGTTATCAGGTGTCAGGTTATGTCACATTAAAGATGCATTTTCCCCCATACGTTTTAAACCGAACAACTCGACGAATGTTTTCTCTCCACTTTAAGTTTCTTCAGTGTGACAGTATTGTTCGAGCGGTTACGTTGAAAAAAAATCATTTAAAAGGGGGGTCTGGGGGGTTGGGGGAGGGAAGTAGGGAGGGAGGATTGAAAAAAAATCGATCCACACTTTGTTTCAATTCACTTGACTCAAGTCGAAGTTAAGTCAATATCCACAACGCACACTGCCATCACAACATTCTTTCGGGGACATTATATTCTTTGAAAATTCGTTCGGAAAGAAATTAAAAATGTGAAAAAAATCACGGGGATACTACTTAATGACTTCATTACCAATGAATACATGTGTGCTTGTGATCGACATGTGGTGAAGGTCCCTTTTTAAAGCTTATTCTATCACTGCGCACTTGTATTGTGTTCAAACAATCGGTGGATTGGTATGACATCCGTTCAAGGTCAATAGAGACTATATAGGTATCAACAGCTTTTCAGCAAATTGGCGACGCCCATGGACTGAGCATGCTAGTACCGTTTATGTCTACAAAAGAACTTATAATGATTGAGGATGAACTATTTAAAACATGAGTAATATTTAGATCTCCAATATACACGTTTATTGTGGGTTGTGTGAAATATCCGATACAAAAAAGACATCTGCAATCCATATAATAATAATAACAATAATAATAATAACGGAAATTTATACTGCGCCATTATCCGCCATAAATGACGCTCATGGCGCAAACAAAAATTATATCAAATCAGACATAACAAAACAATTAAATAAAATATATTCTTAGCTGCACCTTTGATGTCACATCGAACTCCAGCATCTTCCAAATGTCCACAGTTATTTACCCCCAGCCCATCATGCTGACAATCGAAGACTGTTTCCTCGTCACCAGCACACGACACTTCATCAAGCAGTATTTCCATCTCGGAAGTGCCTCCACCAAAGCCAGCGTGAGTCACGGCTTCTATCGCCCCAGGAAAGCCGAGTTGACGACAGATGACAATGGCATCTGTAATGTCCCAGCCGTCATCGCAGACAGTTCCCCAGGCACCAAAACCGAACACCTCAACGCGCCCTTCTGACGAATCTGATCCACCCGCCAAACGAACTTTAAAAGTGAAAAAAAAACTATGAGCAGTTTACAACAGTATTATCAAACAATGTCGTCGTTCCAGCCGAAATGCGTATTTCTTTATTTGTTTATTTTTTTGGCAGCATACATCGTATTTTAACCAATTACATCATGCACCCTTTATATGAATATTGATCACGCTGTGTGGATGGCAGCAGGTTCTCGATGTTTTCCCTGCAATTGAACCTATCCCAACCAAAAAAATGTTTGATGAAAATGGGCACAGGCTCGAACCACAGATCGTGCGATCCATAGTTCATTCCACTATCCACTAGGCCACTGTGGCAGCTCGACGAAATCCGTTCTTTGTAATCCTTCAATTTTTATTCATGACTGAGTGCTAGCAATGGTGTGTCGTCATTATTCTTTTCTATAAATAAACAACGAACTAGCTAAATCCATTGACGATGTGTGCTGTAAATAAAAACACCGCAGCCGGGTTGCACATCTTTTTTTCCCCAAACGACATCCGTTTCCCATCCTCTTATCAGTCATTACATGCATATCTAATGCCTTGTTCTCCACAACACACTCACAAACCCAAGATAGTCTTTACGTCTTGTGAGAAATGTTCCTACCTCACTCTAGTTATTTAAAAGGTAAAATGACAAGAAGTGAAAAATGCTCACTGAGATTCGAACTCGGATCACCTGATTAGAAGTCAGGACTACTTCCAACCAGTCCACGAATCAGCTGCCAATCGTCGGTGATTTAAACACCATTATTCCTTGTTATCCGGTTCGTTAGTGTGACGTCACCTCCAGCACTTTTTGCACGATTTGAACCGGAAGTTAACGCAGTTCGAGCGTTTGCAGCCAATGGGCGCTAGTAATCAGTGGTGTGCGCGCGTGTATGACGTTTTTACTAACGAACCGGATATAACTTATTCTTTAAAGCCCCGGAGATCATGAATATGCATAACTCAGAGAGAGCACCCTCTTTTGATATTGTCCGATCTCGTTTGGGGAACAAAATTCGCAGCCGGGCTGTGTCCAAAGAAATAGACCAGGATTAGAGCGATTCATAAAACGATTAGAGATGACATAATTATGCGAAATTGACATATGCGTAATTGACAAGGAAATTATGTTCTGAAAGTGCATAATTCCACGGTCTTTCTTTAGTAACCATGCTTTCGTCGAGGAAATACTTTTTACTATATCTTTATGAATAAGAGCCATTGACTGGTAGACTGGTAGGCCTGTGTCTGGATATCAGTCAAGTGACTTAAGAGATGGCTTCCATCCCACATGGTTTGGCACACATTCAGTAAAATTTGAAACTGGTCAGTACTATCTTTGCGAAGTAAATGCGAACAAGAATAAAGCAGCTGAACTAATGATAATCCCGTGCACGTATTTTTTAAAACCATTATTGGTTGCTCTGGATTAAGCATAGCCCCTTAATCGCTTTGGTTTTGATAAACTATTCACATGAATAAACCAAGCCTAACTCGATGTTGGTTTTTAGTTAACGAACAATGATCTTACCACCAACTTCACAGCGGACTCCGGCATCTTGGCTATGGGAACAGACGTTGTTCCCAACCACGTCGCGTTCACATTCAAATATCGAATCTTCGTTACCCGAACAAGTCACGTCAAGCAGAATTGGGACATCGTCATCAGCCGGACCGAAGGCAGCGTTGGTCAGTGCTTCCGTCGCGCTGCGGTAACCCAGCTGGCGACAGGTGACATTGGCACTGAGCAGATCCCAATTATTGTCGCAAACAGTTCCCCACGCATGATCCACAAATACCTCCACACCTCCTTCATATGTGGTCGAACCGCCCGTCAAACGAACTAAATGATAAAAGGGGGAACCAACAAAAGCAATTCTTTACATGTATGTACCATAAAACTATCATATTAATGCAATTTTGCCTGACTCAAATATTCACAAGAAACTTTAATAAGAGATGTAAATTCAAATTGTCGCTTCAAAAAATTTAAAGCCAATGTTTCCGTATCCCATTGTACACTGTAACGTGCAGAAATGGACTGTAACGATTGTGTGCAATGCGGGGAGGGGCTTATAACTGCTCATCAAAGTTTAAGCTTAAGTTTGTAATTATTAGGCCTACGTTAACAAAAAAAATTTTTTAATCTGATCACATCATTTTACTTGACTTCATTGTAATGACATCAAGAGGTAGTCAAGGGACGTCCTATAATTTTGAGTGACGTTGGAAGGTTAATTGAGAAGTACATTTTACAGTGATGGTAATTCGGCCAAGACCAATAAAATTAACGTCCTTGTCTTAATGCACTGAGTGAAGACGAATGTGAGCTGGTCACTTGGGGCGAAGGCAAGAGACAAATACTTGGTTCTCTTCCTTAACTAACGGGCATTTTAAGTCCAATAATTAACAACTTAACAAACACAACTTAACACCACACAAAGATATCAAATAATTAACAACTAACACACACAACTTAACACAACACAAATATACGCACTTCGAAACCATTGGTGAAGTTGCATGATATGATATAGCTGGGGTCTACCCGATGTTCCCAAATACCTCTGTGACCCAAAATCCCTAAGGTTAGGGTTAGGGTTAGATATGGTTAGGGTTAGGGCTAGGGTTAGGGAACATAGGTATTGGGGAACATAGGTATTGGGGAACATATTAATGCACCCATATAGCCTATCACCGTTGGTCATTCCTCAGACGCTACTCCAAAGCATACATGCAACCATTTTGCGTCAATATAAGCGGTGGTCTTTGCCACTCACCAAGCGCATCATAGCACACAACGCCTGCATCCTCGCTATGGTAGCAGTTACTGATCCCAATCCCCCGATGGTAGCATTCTCCCAAATGCTTCTCATTGCCAGTGCACTTTAACTCATCCAGCAGTACATCGCCTGTGCCAGGACCGAAGGCAGCTGACGACTTGGTCGTCAGGACGCTGTTGTAACCAAGTTGACGACAAACCACGATGCCATCTTGTGCATTCCAATTATCATCACAGATTGTTCCCCAGTTGCCAAGGGCGAAAACTTCTACCCGACCCTCATGGGGACCTGAGCCGTCGACAAGTCGAACGCCCTCTAAGGACTCTGAAAGGAAAATCGACAGAGAAATGAATTTGGTAATTTACAGGATAGTGGGGTTGAACAGGTTTATTACGGTACATTATAGGCCTCGCGTTGAACTTATCATATTGATCTTTCTTATATATTTTTGTTTATTTCAACAACTCTAGAATAATTTGCAGTAAAGTCAATGCACAAAACCAACTTCTACAAGTTATTTCTACGTTTCGGGTGTTTTCTTTTGAAGGAGATTAACATCTGAAGAGATTTATTCATTTCCCCCAATTGAAATGCGCAGAAGCGGTAACCGATTACCAAGAAAAGAAGTCATGATACTGACTGCCAGTAATACCAAAAGGCACATAAAGATACGTGATGACTGCTTTGTCGTCATGATTATTGAAACACCCCCCCCCCCCCCTCCCCATGACACTTGTGACTGAAATGGTTAGGTCATTGTCTGGCAAGTCACAGCGATATTGTCTAACAACAACCACATACCAGATGATACGACTTGGCAACGCACCCCGGCGTCAAGCTCATGATAGCAGTCGGGAACCGTAAAGCCGTGATTGGGGCAATCAAACAAAGATGCTTCGTCCCCATCGCAGTCAAGATAGTCAAGGAATAAGGCCTGATCCTCATCGCCAACGCCGTATACAGCCGAAGAAGCTTCCAAGGCGCCCTGAAAGCCGAGATCGCGACACAGCACGGTGGCGTCATCTATGTCCCAGTTCTCATGTCTTCCGCAAACAGTCGCCCAGCCACCATTGACGAACACCTCAACGCGTCCTTCGCTTGTCTTTGAACCATTCACCAAGCGAACTTCAAGTCAAAGAAAAATTTATGAATTTCACTATTAAAATAACCGGACTTTGGTTTAGAAACTTATTTGTGGTTCGCTTACTACATGTATTAAAACAGAATCTGATTTTTCCAGGCCTTTTATATCAAGGACTATATGAGTTTTCATCTAAGGTGCAATTCTGCTGGAGGAAGAAGATCAATTATTATAAATAGTCCTTTTTTCTCCCTTTGGTCTTTTTTCCAAGACCAATTTGGCGAATGTTTTCTCATCAACACCCGAGGCCGGTTGATTATTTTCGTTACGTCCTGTGTTTGTCGATGCTGATGTCAGTTCGAAAATGTGCGTGTGTAGCTTTCCAGAACAATATAAAACTTGTTTCAAGATCAGCCTCACCAAATTTGAAATTTACTTACAAGTTTAAATGTGTTAAATTTGTGTGTAGCAGTATACTTACAATCTTGGACCTGGCATCGAACGCCGGCATCCTCATCGTGTGAACAAATGTTTATCCCAAGTCCTTTGTTCCGACAGTCCAACAACGAATGCTCGTCTCCGATGCAATCCACTTCGTCTAGGTGTATGTCTTGCCCCGCACTCCCGGGGCCAAAGGTAGCCATGGACAGTGCTGCTTCTGCTTTCTTAAATCCGAGCTGTCGACAGACGACGTTGGCTTCGTTTAGCCCCCAGTTGTTATCACAAACAGTTCCCCAGACACCATTGGCGAAGACTTCGACGCGTCCTTCAGTAGAATCCGAACCGTCAACCAAGCGAACTAATTGGAGAAAAGGTACACCTTCCTTTAATTTGACATTACTTGGGTATTATTTGTAGGCAACACATAATTATTTTCATAACATTTTGTCAGTATCAAATAGATGTATCGCTGAGCAAAACATTCTTATTGCTGCAAAATATTGTGATGGATTAATGAGGGTTTGCGGTATTAACACCACCATGTGGGAGAATCTCTTTTGAGAAGATGTGTGGATCTGAAAAGAACCGGGTGGTTGTGAACACGACGTTCCGATCAGTATGCTCTGCAGGATCGTCGGGTTTTTTTTCCTTTTCTTTTTTTTTCTCCTGAATTTGCGGCGTACCGATCGGAACGTCGAGTCTCACAACCAACCAGTTTTTTTTCCCAATCCCATCTTCTCAAACGAGATTCTTCCACATGGTGTAACCGCAAACTCTTACTAGCTTACACTACGGCCATGGAAAGTTTTACAATTATTTATTTTCATGGAGATATCGAAGTATCGAAGCTTACTTTGGAAACCTTTTGGTTGGCTTTCTTTTTACAAAACTGGTTTGTTCATGTGAAAAAAATACATGGGGTAAACAGCAATACAATTCATATCAAAACCATACTAGTATTTGTGTATTTTGCATGTAAATAATGCGCCTGATACCTTCTGCTTGAGAAACATTTTTATAATAAGCCTGGCTGCTGTCAATCCGGAATACGAAGCGGCCAGTGGTGTTGACATTAGTGTCTTGGTCAACATCAACGATCAGGTCTCCCCGTGAGTTCGGAACAGCAATGAACGTATAGCCATCACCAGCATTCACCCCTACCTAAAATGATATAAAATACAAGAGGTGCAGTGGTTGCAAATGGTTTAAACATGTTGAATATCATTGAGAATAAATAATTAAATAATGGCAAAGAAAGACTCGTATGACTCCGAATGGAGACGTGCTCCAGTACCAATTTTAAGGTTCAAACTTAAAATGTCGCTTCGTAGATAGAGTCAATGTTAAATTCTGAATCACGGAACAAATACACATTGTTTGATGACTCGGTAAGACACTGGGCTGAGGACTTTTGGACTCATTGATGAGTAACTCTGTGTTCTTTTCAAGCGCGGATCCGGGAGGATCAACGGGGGCTATGCCCCCTCTCCCCACCCCCACCCCACCAAAAAATGAACCCTTTTTTTTAAGTGACGTCGTAATAAAATGCAGGCGTTGTGTGCACCACCATCTTTTCCTTAAACAAATGGTTAAAGTGGTCAGAAATTGCCTCAGACCGCACCACAGAGCAACCCCAATACCCACGCCGTAATTTTTTGACCCACTTTTTTTGGAACCAACCACTCTTTTGGGCCCCCCAAAAAAAGTGTCTTCTGTATCTGCTCTTGGTTTTGGTTAAGTGCACTGAACTGTGTAAGTGAATGTACTTTCGTACAAGGGTTGTAGTACACAAGAAGCTAACTATCTAACAGACCGCATGAACAATGACTTCAACCGATATTTTTGAGTTCTGGGGCCGGAATAATACAAAACTCAAACAAAACGTCAAAGAACTACACCTCTACTTACCACTGCTGGAACACCATTTTGTCCCAAGGTATTGCCACCACTGTTTCTTCCAGTCGTCCAACAAATGTTTTCATAGTTGAAAATGGTGAATGAGTACACACTGTCGCTCACAAAAACAGCTTGGAATGTGTTAGTCTGATGAATAAAATATATCGTCGAACAAAATGGATTAGCTGTCAGATTTAATATTTTTCCCACAATGTTTATATTCCTTCAAATTAACGCGCCCTCAAGTAAACTTGAAATTTCGGTTTGCAGGTCTTCAAGGGTCTACTTCAATAGATCGGGGCGGAGTGACGTCATACGATGAAAACATCTATTCATTTGCGCTCTAGTTTCCATTGGTTGCTATTTGTTATAACATTCAGCACTCCAGACTTAAGAACCATTTAGATTCAAGAACATAGTTCTGGGAGCTAGATAAGCCAATGTCCCGGATCCACCTGCAGTAAAAAGACCGGGATTTTAAGATTAGTACATTGTAATTATCGCCCAACTTGAAAAAAAAATATTTATTTTTATTTTATTTTATTGTATTTTATTTCTTTCTGGTAATGAAACCAAGGGTCCCTCAACAGTGCCTTAAGCACTGTAGCCCGGAAGCCTGAAGAAACCTGTAGAGAGAAGACAATGAGAAGAAATTACAGTCTTAGAGGTGGGAGGAAAAGCCCAGAGGAATATTCTGAGGAAAACCCACGGAATCAGGTAGGGACTGAAAACCCAATCCACTATGTGTTTCGATCGGACGTCATGACTTGTGGATGTCTCAGTAATATGTATAGACAAAACAATGACCAGACTGCGGTATTGTAAACGCACTCGAATATCCAAGTTTTGTATATGCACGTAAGCCACTGCCTGTCCAGGTAAGCGCACTCCTCGACGCCACGGGGACGAGGTTGGTTTTCAAACAATATACATATTTCCAATTTTAATTCAGCGATCTGCCCGATCAAACCCATTTAGAAGTGAACTGAGTTTTCTGAGCGTTCGTGGTACTTAAATCGTTGCATTGGACAGCAATACGGCATATGGTCAACTTACTAATACGTCGTTCTGCCGTTCATAGGGCCAAATAAAAAACGGCACTTTGTCCCACGTTGCGACGAACATCCAATCAGCTACGAAGTCGGCAAGTGTCTGGTTGACGAATGCCTGTCTGACTATATTCTCTGCCTTGACAAACATCAACTCGTTGTCTGAAGTACGAGAGGCGACTTCGCGGTACCACACGCTGCCATTGTGTTGAATGTTCACATCGGCCCAGAATACAGCCACCAAAATCTCATCAACAAGGGGAAACGGCTTAGGGGTGTACTCTGAAACTTGCGTGAGAAAGGAGAATACACCGTTGGTGTTCACCTGCAATCAAATAAAAACAAAAGTCTGGGCTTTCCGGTAGTTTACTGCAACAACAAAAAACAGTTCGACAAATTCATTCACTATTAATCCTTTATGGAACTGTCAACACACAGATATCAATAAAGGGAGATGTCTATCTTCCCAAGTTGCTCTCAAGACGTTGTATATTGGATACGCAATCACTTGCCGCGAAAAGGCGTTATCATTGGCAAACCACTATCATAACAACGTCTTGGCAATGCTGTAAAATCTCCCCGAGAATAAGGCAAAAGGTGGCGCATATACTACTTCTGTGGGCAAATACGATCCATTTTCGATCGCACGTGTACTACATTCGACAAAAAAGTGTTGCCGTGAAGATGCACAAAAGTCTATAAATGTATCATGCTCCAAAAGATACCTGTTTTTCAAATGAAAGCAAATGGTCCTACTCTTGAGGCTGAATTTCCTGATTCTATTTCCGTTCTGACATAAATATATTTACTGGGCAATGTCCAGTAAAATAGTTGTCTGTGTCTGCCCGATCACCCTGCGTTTGTAACTCAACAAACACGAATCACCAGTTTTATTTAAAACGTATGTAATATATCACCCAAAGCTTTAATTCTCGATACGAATATGGAATTCAATTTACATCACGCTATGTAAATTTTAATGTCAAGGCAACCCTTTTCTAAATTTCATTTTATTTAATTTTTTCTTGGATTGATATTAAAGTTACTACATTATTCATCTTTTTAGGGTACTGAGATTTGTGAATACTAGCGAGGTATGAAGTGTTTTGCTTGCCATGTCTGAAAAATAGTTGAGGTGGAAATACTTCAGCCTGGACTATGTGCGATCTACACCTAGGACAACACACGGCATGTGCATATCAGAATGCCCATATTGAACCAAACCATCGTCGTGTTTGAAAACGAATAAAACTGAAGCAAACTGCTTTTTAACTGGATTGACTGAAATATACTAAAACATTAAAGCGGCCTGATGTTTCGATCTCAACAAGATCTGCTTCAGAGGCAATATTACATCATAACGTTTTATGGCTTATGGGTTTTTTTTATTCTGTGCTTTTAGTGCTTAGGCCAAAAAAAAGTCTCCGGTTTCTGGTATGGAGCTTGCCCAAAACGTGGTGCGGCGACGCAGCTTTTTTTTTTTACCTGTTTTTTGGCTTCAAATGTCGGCGGATGACTGCAAATGGTGCCCGACTAAACTTAGTGCAAATATTATGGAAGACCAGAGAGGCCACATAAAGCTTATTCTCGATCATAACCCCATCTAAAAACACGTTAAAATTGTGCAGCAGCAGGATTCCTGTCAAACCAGTGAGTTTGGCGGTTTAGAGACATCATCTTTCATTGAAAATTTTGCCGGCGCGCATGGTTACGGCGATGCGCGCGTATACCAGAAACCGGAGACTTTTCTTTTTGGCCTTAATCATCCATTTTAGTTGTCACAAACAACTACAGTTGCAAACTTACATATAGAGACTCGTGGCTTTGGTCGAAAACGGGAAATGGCTTAGCCAGTGACAGCCTACCGGAGCCTTGATCATCATTTGGAGGGAGAATTGAGTCGCCTTCATTGGTTCCATACAAGAACATAAGCCCGTCGTTGTCTCCTTCGGTTTCTTCGTCGGTTTCTGGGGGAAACATGCAATATCCAGGATTTTTTTTTGTCGGTATAAAAACTTTTAAAATGTCAGTTACAAGACTATGCAAATCTTGTAAAACTGGTCAAATGGTGTTGGACCAATTTGGGACCAGCGAAATAAAGTTCAATGACTTCGGCGAATCATTCTGCTTATCGAGGCTAAAACTAAACTTTACGGAACGGAACATGTCTAAACCTAAACTTCCCGGAATGGATCATAATGTTACGCTCCACCTGCAGGGACTGATTCAACTAATAATACTCGGGACTGTGGTTAGGGCCATTGCTATAATCAGAAGTAAGAATGCTGGACAAAATTCAGTTGGCCTCTGCCCTATGCAAGATAGTTTCACCGTCTCGTCAAACCTTTTGTACATGTTCTGCATTTGCACTAGATTGATGAGACGTTTACCCTGCCTGTAAAATGATATTCATTGCAATGGTGTACACCATCAAGGAATTAATTCACCATCAAGGAATTCACTTTTTTCCAAAAAAAGATGCGGATTTATGCTCACATGGAAGCGTTTGTTTGCTAAGTTATAGCTTCGCTTTCCTCTGCTCCATAAAGTGAATGCAATGTTTCCCATCATTTTGTTTCATCAAGGAGTGCTTGATTTTTAGCAGCCCTGGTTTTAAGCACCCTGTCAATATCGCCAACCCATCCCCCCCCCCATGGGCTTGACATTTGATGATTTTTAACGAGGTCACTGTTATATACCAGAACCTTATTCCAAAGTTGCCATTGCAAACTATTTTTTTAAAGGTATTTATAAAGTTTTTTTTATAAAAAGGAACCGTGCATGTTTGTGAGTACAAAACATTGTGTTCTCTGCCCAATCCTATCAAGTGTTCATTTTCGACGACAAGCATGGTAAAGTATGTACAATATAGCTTTTTAAAAATATTTCTGATATACATGTACCTGTAACTATGTATGTCCGCAGTATGTTTCACCAATGTACTTTTCCTTATGAGTTTTACTTTACTTAACATTATTTTATCATTAATGCAGGGCCCCCAATGGACACCAGTTTTTAACTGTTGGGCATACCCTGCGTGCATTAAGATATGGAATAAATAAATAAATCTGATCAATTAAAATGAATGCTTGTGCTTCACTTGTGTAAATTCATGCCAAAACAAACTCACAATTTTGGCTTGTGACCTTGGAAGCCAAACGTAACTGCAACGATAGTTTCTGAAGATCAGATCCACAAAATTGAAAATTTCGAAATTTGAATCGGGCACCAAATGTGATTGGCACAATTGCACCAATACAGGACGACTGGAAAAAAGTAAACCCAAATGGTGCCCCTATGTACTTTTCTGGTTGTGGAATTTTGAAGACAAACACTGTTTTTTTTGTCCTGCACGGATCACATTTAAGGTATGTGTTTTTCAGTAAAATGAAACCATACCGTATCCTGAAATGATATAAGAAAAATCCCATAAGTCTCCGGGCTAGAAGGTAGGGCAAGACTATACTATAAACTCTTGACATTGTAAAGCATGGTTTTTGTTTTTTGTTTTTTTTATTAAATAAAATAGGGAGCCACCATTATTTTTATTTTTTTTGGGGGGGGGGGAATTTCCGTTCGTGTTGATAAAGATAAGTTTAACCCTTTTTGAAGATAAGTTAATACTTGAAACCGACACTTTTGTATTTTCAATATTTTAAGACGTGAGGTAAAAGAAAATAAAAACAATGCCGTTTATGCAAAAAAAGTATTTTAAGGCTTCATTTTAGTTTTTTGGCCTGCTCATAGCCTTTGCGTTTAAATTTTACATTTTCTGTGCTCTGGGTTTCCACGTTAGGTTCGCCTTCAATAAAAATAAAAGTGCATTTTGTATCACCAATAAAACAAATTAAATAATTTGCAACATTAAACTTTTTGAATTTTCAAATGTGTTTAGTAGATGCCCTCAGAGTACTGGTAGGCTACACGTTAAATGTAATGTAAAATGAAAATCATTTAGTGGGTTGTGTTTCAATAATGAACCGTGAAAGTATTTTCCCCAGAACCATTGAGGGCCGCCAGATTAATGCTCAGTATTTGTATAATCTTACCAGATCCATCAATATAGACAAGACAGTCAAGCAGTATCAACAAGATAGCTATCCATGCACGGCGCATCTTGGCAGCAGTCATAGCATACAGCAACCGGTGCAAACTGAGGCCAAATTAAAACTGTTTTCACGCTAAATATTTTGAAAACCGATTTGAAATCAATTAAATAAATGACTGATGGCAAGTGTGCCCGATTCGCACATTTTAATTAATTTCGTCATATCGCGTTGTCACGGGCGGGTATAGGGCGTGAGCTTGGAATTTGGGTTTGGACTTATTTGTATATCGTCCGGGTAACCCGTACAGAGAATAATAACGGCACTGACTATATTTCACTGCCAATGAAGAAACAACAACAACTTTTGAGGGAGGCTCCGTGCCACTGGATCGCTCCGTGTATAACGCCGTGGGAACGTAATGCAACAAAAGGATTCAGCCTTGGGCGATAGATGAATAGTGACACAAATAGCCATCCATAACTAATTTTGATAGGTTATTTGTCGAGATAATGGCTTGCGACAACGATGAATGACTTGCGTCTCGGCAACTTGCGATGACCCAATGAATTAAGTGTGGATTGTCAATGGAAATTAGCTGTTTGGAAAATTTTAATTAAAGTTCATTGGCCTTACGACTTAACCTCAAAGGGTGAATCCAGGTGCCACCGATTAAAGCACGCGTATTATTTTTTCCCACGGTAAAATCTCAGTAGGTCTGGGGCCTGCTACCCGCCCGCAAATCACCTCCGGTGCCTGCGGGCGAAATTCGAAAGGAGGTGGGGGGAGGTCCTGGACCTCAGACATTGCGATGGGCAGCCCTGTCCCCTTATTTACCCGTTATTTAGCGAAATAACAATAAAACGTATATAAGCAGAAAGAAACGTATGGGGCTGTTCGAATAAGTCTAATTAGAGCACAGCATGGTACATACACAAGACTAATAAAGCCATTAACACTAATACAGAAAAAAAAGAGTAAAAAGGCAATCAAGGACAATTTGCAAAAGAAAACAAAACAAAGACACAAGGGACTAGAAGTAAATGAAAAGAGGGAGATACGAAAAAGAGAAATCATCATGGTAAAACCCCCAAAGAACCCGGTGAATAAAGAAGCATTGGAGATAGAAACTGCGCATATGGAAACTCAGGATGAGAAGCTGTGCTGCATACAATGACAGGAGGAATCTCTTATGCGGAGATTTAAAGGGAAGATACAACATGGGAAAACATCGCAAAACGAAATGATCAAATTATCACAAAATACCTTACTGGATTATTAGGGAATGACAGTCTAAAGCATCCTGTAAAATCGTGGCTCCTGGTGTGCTGACATTTTCAAGAAAAATGGTATTTTTCCAACGCTGGTCGGCCACGGCCGACCAGCGTTGAAGAAAACTGGCTTTTTTTTTCAAAAACTGCTCCTCATTTTTCATAATTAGTTATTCCGCATTTTCTTTGCAATTGATCACACATCTGTGAGGGGTACAAGCCTGCTAGACTGATACTCTGACCTTACAATTCCCCAAAGTCTATAAATTGCTCCGTTTCATCTTCAGTGGGGACAGGGAACCAGACTACAAGAACACGATTGGTTTGAGCATCTACATGCCCAAAACGTGAAACAAGTCATTTTAACAATATTTGCTATAACATACTTATCCTCCGAATCCATTTATTTCTGAAAATTGCAGCTTTTTTGTTTGTTTGTTTTTGTGGGGGGTGCGAACCCCAAACTCCCCGGTCGCTATTATATTGTGACCGACGAGCCTGTTCATAGGTACATTCACAATGAAGTTTAACCGACCGCCTATATAGTATAGACTTAACCTTTATATCGCAGAAGTCAGTATTCATTATTTCGGAGAAATTGTGTGTGGTCTAGTTTCATTCTTTTCTGATTGTGATAGGTAAATGTATTTCAGTTATTAAATACCTTCACATGTTGGTACCGAGTCACTCCAAGTGACGTTGCTATAGCCAGTCTCAATGCATTCAATGCTGGATGTTCCATGGAGGGTATATCCAGGGTCACAGGAGAAATCCACACGAGTCCCGAAGAACTTGAAGTTGTTGAGATTGTACGACAGTGAAGGCGGGTTGGTGATGGTGTGGTCTCCGTTGGTTGGTGGTCCTATGTCATTACTACACACTCCTTGTGATACTGCATTGAGACAAGAAGACACATGTACCTCGTGAACTTCTGATGAGGGGATCCATGTTGATCCACGAGTCAATCACAATTCTGTTCGCTTGTAAATCACAAGCTACTTCACAAGTCCGCTCACAAGTAACATTGGATGAATGTTGGCAAAGGAATGCTTTCTGTCTCAGTTTATTTGAATAGCTTGTGACTTGACGGGGGACTGGATGATTTGTGATGGACCTATGAGGACTTGTGACGCAGTCAACTGACTTTGACTGAAAATCCACAGTACATTTAAATCAAACTGTAAAATGTGTTCAGTTGGTTCGTTTGTGTACTCACCTCTGTACACGGATAAGCGCCAACCGCCTCCACAGATCTGGTCGCTGTTTCCGGTGCACACATCTTGACAATCGGAATCCGGCTCTTCACCGTGTTTGTCGTAGTCGTTATTCCCACACCAGCATTCCTGCGCGTCTTGCAGTCCCGCATATTTATACTCGGTAGGTTCCAAACAGTTTCTGAAGCAGCGCTCAACCGACTGTTGATTGTATTCTATTGCTGGACCAAACGGTAGGGCACGATCACTAGCGTCCCCAAAACATCCCAAATAGCCAGGGACTGGACAAAGAAAACACATTTGAAAAGATAACTCGTATTAAACTTCACGAAATGTCTTTAAAGTGTCAACCCAATAAACACAAGCTTATAGCTTGAGCACTAACTTCATATCGCTTTATTCACCAGCAATGTCAGATAGGCCTACTGATGGTACGATTGGGCTAATCCCCGATGGCCATTTGCTTCTATTCGATTTATTTTACTCTGCAGTTTTTCTTTCGAGGAATACAGCGCATTGAACTTGAAACTTAATCATTATGAACAAAGACCCTGTTTTGCATGATTTGTTGGATCGCAGTGTTAATGCAGTTATTAACGTACATTGGGCTTGATATTGACTATTTCTTGGCAAAGAATGTATCATTGATTCACTGAACACTTGTGCTTTTGTCAAACTCGTTTACTTTCCCACCAAACTTGATAGAGTTTTGCTTGGTTAAAATGGTTCATCTTCTTCATCACTGTACTTTTCTTCAATAGGCCTGCAAGCGTAATTTTGTTTCCTAGGAGGGTTAGAGGCAATGTCATGAATAATTCAGTTTTTCCTTTGAATCATTGCAAGACTTAGGTTCTCGTTCTATTTTCCCCTTAATTTAAAATTATCTCAGTGATAAATTTGGAGAAGAAAAATAGCTGATGAAAATGAGCAGCCACGACGTGGATTCGAACCAGAGATCTTTGTATCCATAGCTCATCTCGCTATCCATTAGGCTACCGTGTGTTAGCTCAACGACAACCGTTCTTTAAAATGCTTTAGTGTATTGTAACTAGTTGAGTAACTAACAACAATGCTGTTGATGTCATTGTCCGTTCTCATGGATAAACATGAATTATTCATGAAATTGCCCCTAACCCTCCTAGGAATAAAAATTACGCGGCCTGCAAGCAATAACATGTGCTGCGTGTGTTAAGTAAATACAGCCTTCATCGTAAGGGGGGGGGGGGGGGTCTGCGGTGCGAACCCCAATTTCTCCGGTGGCTGTACGCAGATTGTGATCGACGAGCCTGTTCTTACATACATTCAAAATGAAGTTCAACTGACCGTCTTTATAGTACAGACTTAACCTTTAGGTCTAAATTGGAGAAGACAGTATTCAATATTTTGGAGACAGAATATGTGTAGTCTAGTTTCATTCTTTTATGATAGGTAAATGTATTTCAGTTATTAAATACCTTCACATGTTGGTACCGAGTCACTCCAAGTGACGTTGCTATAGCCAGTCTCAATGCATTCAATGCTGGATGCTCCATGGAGGGTATATCCAGGGTCACAGGAGAAATCCACACGAGTCCCGAAGAACTTGAAGTTGTTGAGATTGTACGACAGTGAAGGCGGGTTGGTGATGGTGTGGTCTCCGTTGGTTGGTGGTCCTATGTCATTACTACATACTCCTTCTAATACTGCAATAAGACAACAAGACACATGTACCTCGTGAACTTCTGACGAGGGGATCCATGTTGTTGACGAGTCAATCACAATTCTGTTTGCAAGTAAATCACAAGCTACTTCACAAGTCCACTTACAAGTAACATTGGATGAATGTTGGCAAAGGAATGCTTTCTGTCTCAGTTTATTTGAATAGCTTGTGACTTGACGGGGGACTGCATGATTTGTGATGGACCTATGAGGACTTGTGACGCAGTCAACTGACTTTGACTGAAAATCCACAGTACATTTAAATCAAACTGTAAAATGTGTTCAGTTGGTTCGTTTGTGTACTCACCTCTGTACACGGATAAGCGCCAACCGCCTCCACAGATCTGGTCGCTGTTTCCGGTGCACACATCTTGACAATCGGAATCCGGCTCTTCACCGTGTTTGTCGTAGTCGTTATTCCCACACCAGCATTCCTGTGCGTTTTGCAGTCCCGCATATTTATACTCGGTAGGTTCCAAGCAGTTTCTGAAGCAGCGCTCTACCGACTGTTCATTATCTATTGCTGGACCGACCGATAAGGCACGATCACTAGCGTCCCCAAAACATCCCAAATAGCCAGGGACTGGACAAAGAAAAACAAATTTTGAAAACATAACTCGTATACAACTTTACGCGTAGAGTACATCAAGTTCGTCAAAATGTCTTTAAAGTGTCAACCCAGTAAATACAAGCTGTACTTAGCTTGAGCACTAACTTCAAATCGCTTTATTCACCAGCAATGTCAGATGCTGATGGTACGATCGGGCTAATCCCCGATGGCCATTTGCTTCTATTCGATATATTTTACTCTGCAGTTTTTCTTTCGTGGAATGCAGCGCATTGAACTTGAAACTTAATATGAACATCAACCCAGATCTCACAAATGCAAGAATTTTTCTTAATCTGCCTATTGGATACTAATCATAACACCGCTAATGGACTTATGAAAATGAAACAGTGAGTGATGTTTGAAATGGACGCTTAATTTAGGACATAAAAATATAAATAGATGTCCCGCTTTAATATTATTCGGTTTCTCATTGTGATTCTAAAACAAAAAATGTGTTGCATCGAGGAAGCAGTAATAGAACTCGTTCCCAAAAAGGATGAGGTTCTTTTCTTAGTCCTCCAAACTCAAAGACCCTTTTGTGCATAATTTTGTTGGATCGCAGTGCTAATGCAGTTGTCACCGTACATTGGGCTTGATATTCGACTATTTCTTGGCAAAGAATGTATCATTGGTTTACTGCGCAGTTGTGCTTTTGTCAAACTCGTTTACTTTCCCGCCAAACTTAATAGAGTTTTTGCTTGGTTAAAATGGTTCATCTTCGTCATCACTGTACTCTTCTCAATAGGCCAGTAAACTTCTGTCCAATAATGTGCTGCGTGTGTTAAGTAAATACAGCCTACATCTGCAATGTCGCCCTCTATGGTTATTTTGTAACTACGGATACTGAGATAGGCCATTTTTTACAGTAAATGAATACAAAACTTGATAAGCCACACAGTTAAATTGAAATTTCTAATTTTGGGTTAATTATTTATCCTTAAAGGTATTTTTGGCCGAACAAAATTCTTGAGACATTCAAAGAAAAACATATTTCTTAAAAATAAACTCGGCAGCCATTTAGAAAAGCAGCGTGGAATGCAGCCCATTGAACTTGAAACTTAATACGAACACAAACCCAGATCTCACAAATGCAAGAATTTTCTTAATCTGCTTATTGGATACTAATTATAACACCGCTTATGGACTTATGAAAATGAAACAGTGAGTGATCATTTTTGAAATGGACGCTTAATTTAGGACAAAAAAATTAGGACGGAAAAAATCAAACACTTTCGATCTCAGGCTGTGCGCCGTGGTCATATACGGCTCGATGTGGCGGCTGCCTAAGGCGCCTTTACATGCCTGCGGCTCGACCACGTTGTAGCCGCGTCCTTCGCAATTCAGCTTCTCAGCTGCGAGTAAGGATGATTAGCATCCCAAATGATTATTATTATTATTAACTACAAAACCGGTGGTATAAAACAGTTTTGGTTTTTTTTTCAATAATGAACCTTGAAAGTATATTTCCCTAGAAACCTTGAGCGCTCCCAGATCAATGTTCAGTATAGGTCTATTATTCTTACCGGATCCATCTATATAGACAAGACAGCCAAGTAGCATCAACAAGCTACCTATCCAAGCACGGAGCATCTTTGCAGAGTCAAATCATACAACAACCGATGCAAACTGAGGCCAATTTTCAACAATCTTCAACAGTTTTCACGCTCATTGTTTTGGAAACGATAATGATTTATGACAAGTGTGCCCGTTTCGCACAATTTAATTAATTTCGTCATGTTGTAGTGTCACAGGCGGAGACTAAGTAGGGCGTGAGATTGGTACCTTGGTTTGGAATTATTTGTAGATTGTCCTAGTAACCCGTAAAGAGAACAATAACGGCACTTCCCGTTGGTCGACTCTATCTCGTCACGGTTGCCAATAAAGAAACAACAACAAGTTTATGGAGAGGCTCCATGCTACTGGATTGCTCCGTGTAGCTCGCCGTGGGAACGTACTGCAACAAAGGGACCCAGCCTTGGGCGATAGATGAATAGTGACACGAATAGCCATCCATAACTAATTTGATAAGAAACAAGATTATGAAAACCGACAATGAAGAATGACTTGCGTCTCGGCAACTGTTGATAACCCAATTAGTTCAGTGCGGTTTGCCATTGGAAATTAGTTGTTTGGAAGATTTTAATTAAAGTTCATTGGCCTTACGACTAAGCTAAAATAGGAAAATTGAAGTGGACTGATTAAGACCCGTGTGCATTACGCGTACAATACGATAGGTAGGCAACTTTCTTGGGGTAACATCTGTGTAACAAAGTGTCTTTGCGTGAGCGTTATCAGACGTCGTCATCAGAGCATTCGAATGTGTCAGCTCCAGTGGTCTCCCCAACTCTTCCTTTCTTACCGATGAGGGGGTACTCACGGAACCCATCGCATCACCAAAATGCCAAAATGTTAGATACTTCTTTTTGCTGATTCATTGTTTTTTCATCACATGACATTATGGCAATGAACGAACTTTCTCACTATTGTTTTCAACTTGAGCAAACTTTGAGTTCACAATTGGCAAAGAAAACGCTTTAACTGAACAGTGTCTTCCTATCACAACAGCACTTTCCAATAAAATTAACTAAAAAGGGATGTCACAACAGTTTTCATACATTAAAGAGGAGTAGAAAGGTGCACAAAATATGTTCCCAAGTAAAATTCATGCAATGGTCCCTTTAAAATAATTGCTATAAAATACTAACCCCCAAATCCATCCATTTCTGAAAATTACAGCAAAAGCAAAATGTTGTATGTATTTCCTTTAATGGAGAAATATACAGTCAGGTTGGTTCCAAGGATTTTGCTCGGGCGATGAAGTCGACCTCAGTTGCTAAATGGCTTGAACACAAAGATGATGCCGTGTTGAAATTGGTACTTGATGCAAACAAAATTATATCACGGTCAATAAAATGGTTTAAAATGGAGTCCCGTGCTCAGTTTTACTGGGATAATTTTCTACATGTAAGCTTGGCCATTATTATGTGCGGCGCATAACCAGTTAAATAGATTACAATAATTGCATCGCATATTCAATTACACATGTACGCTGCGTAGGCCTGTAAACCGATTCTACATTGTGTGATCTTCGCTGAGCATAAGTGAGTAGCATAATAATGGACTGCACATTGAACTACTCAACCATTTTAGACAAGGATATTTCCTTTGTATGCAATCTTTAGAACAGAATGTTTGTTTATTCTGACGGACTAATAATACACACGCACTTTTGCTCACTAAAACAGGTATACAAACTCAAATGTAGCTGGTCTACAATATAATACTATCATACATCCGGTGTCATATGAAAATCAGACTCTTTTTTCCCTTTTATTGGTTAAACCCTCTCACGTGACCGGTCCCTCTCCTAATTATCTATGCATGAGCATGCGCGATACCACCAATGAGTCCGTATTTCATAAAACCTAAATTCATGCTACACCGGCATTCCGGCTACTGTGAAAAGAAATGTTATCATTTAGCTGTAAATTTGCAAAATGACAGAATACAAAAAATATGTGACTCTTTTTGTCCTGAAATTAATGTTCCTTAAATAGCACTGGCAATTTAAAAAAAAAGAAGGCAAGGTACTAGGGTATTACCTTAGTCCCTCGTTACCATGGAATTGCAGATACAGTGATTCCTGCGGGAACAAACCCAACATCAAATGATCTGGTAATTTTTCAATGTTCACATTATCTTGAGTAAAGATCCGTAACACGGGGAAAAAAATTAAAGAATATAATCATTAACAAGTAAGTATCAGCAGGGCTTACACACCTTCCTTGTTTGACTCACGGCATATTGAGAAATACATGAAGTTCATCGTATTTACGCTAAGCTAAAACCATGTAGGAGTCCTCTGAAATGAGAATCAGACTCCAAATTAAGTAAAACTAGGAGTAGTTGGACGTTATGATAAAACGAAGCAGAATATAAAACGAAGTAGGATTTATCTAAGTACTGAAATGAAATTTCTCAATCAATAAGCTTATCATCACTTTGCCGGCCATGAAATTTCCTTTTGCGTTAAACATACCAGCTGTAGATATTCTGGATCCAGCAACAATTTTAAGCTCAGAGATATTGTTAATCTTAAACTTATGTCTTTAATTACAGATATCATTTCTGAGGCCTACATAGTACCCTTAAAAACAAAACTACTCATACAACAGAAATACTTCCATAGTGATTACAGAATGATAAGCACACGATGGAGACAAATCAGTCTCTACAAATTGGTGTGAAATAATTCCAGAAGCAAAGGTTTGTCACGATGTATAATTATATCAACAGTAAGCAAAACAAAAAACCAAACTAGTTCTTGAATGGCAAAATATTAAACCCAATATTGAAAATAGTTCTTGCTATTAAACTTGAAGAGTGTTAGTCTATAGTTATTAAACATTGGCGGCGCCTCAAGTTGTGAGAAATAGCATAGGTCTATACCGTTTATAAATTACAAAATGCAGCATTAAACTACTTAAACAAACGTCTTCGATTCCCAATAGACGTTATTCACAAGAAAGACATTTTTGATCGTGATCCTAAATGTATTTTGTAAACTGTAGCTCTTCATTGGCATGTGCAAGACTATTTATGCGGTCTACGTTTCACTTTCATTTTTTTTTAAATGTGGCTTAAAACATTAGGGTTTATTAATTGACACATTTTAATTTCATGTATTCATCAGAGTAGACTGGTATTAATTGGAATTTACTTTAATTTTTATTCGCAAGTTCCAAAAGTGAAGATTTTACCTCGTTTTCAATTTAATATTACCGACTCATGAATAACGCCTGTAGGTCTTGTTCCCTTACTCCATGTTCTAACCTTTATAATTACAGTCTTTTAACTTAATCACCCCAGACCGGTGTAGTACACTGAATTAAACAAACATAATATAAGCGCAAACCACCACGTCTTACAAAGATATATCCAAAATACTGCATTAAACATCGCGTAAAGGCTATATTCCTGCGTTAATATTATAACTCTATGGCATCGCGTAACTACTCGGTGCGCATTTCTTGCTTCGCTCTATGCTTCGCGCGTGTTGAACTAGGTCACGTGCTGGAGGAACGATACATTTAGCTCCGTTACTTTACGTTAATTTGTTGTGCTATCATTGATCTCCATATACACAGAATGGCGGAGATTTATCGCACAGTGAATGGGCGCGTGTGGACGCGCTGCCGATCTAGTCTTTTTATTCTATATTCATAAATACCTCAGACAGTTTAGCTATTCCTATTGGTCGGTCTTAAACGGATGATAAAGACATGGCTAGCTGGTCTTAAACACTTTTCCAGTGTCACAATAAAATGTGGACTCCTAAAAATCCAGTGCCTCTTACCGTTTCATTGGTTGAACGTTCACAATCCTCACGTAGGCATGCGCAACACTACAAGCGAGACAGAATTTTATAGTTCTAAATTCAAAACGCAACGCCCCAGGTGCGTTCTGCGTAACATCGCGCAGAACATGCTACGCGCGCGTCAATCTCCATAAAAGGGTTGTTTACATCTTACTCGCCAGCTGAACACTCCATTATTTTGCTAGAGGGGTGTTTCAAAAAGCATGAAGTGAACTTGTTGATCAAAATCCCACAGGAATTAATTTCATGCCATAAGCTCCGTGATATAAGCAACCGTCTTTCTTATATTCGTCGCTAATTCCTCCCGCCCCTTTCTTTTTGTTTGGGGGGGGGGGGGGTAAGGGGGGGGGGTCTGCGGTGCGAACCCCAATTTCCCCGGTGGCTGTACGCATATTGTGATCGACGAGCCTGTTCTTACATACATTCACAATGAAGTTCAACTGACCGTCTTTATAGTATAGACTTAATCTTCAGGTGTAAATTGGAGAAGTCAATATTCAATATTTCGGAGACAGAACATGTGTAGTATAGTTTCATTCTTTTCTGATAGGTAAATGTATTTCAGTTATTAAATACCTTCACATGTTGGTACCGAGTCACTCCAAGTGACGTTGCTATAGCCAGTCTCAATGCATTCAATACTGGATGTTCCATGGAGGGTATATCCAGGATCACAGGAGAAATCCACACGAGTCCCGAAGAACTTGAAGTTGTTGAGATTGTAAGACAGTGAAGGCGGGTTGGTGATGGTGTGGTCTCCGTTGGTTGGTGGTCCTATGTCATTACTACACACTCCTTGTGATACTGCAATAAGACAAGAAGACACATGTACCTCGTGAACTTCTGATGAGGGGATCCATGTTGATCCACGAGTCAATCACAATTCTGTTCGCTTGTAAATCACAAGCTACTTCACAAGTCCGCTCACAAGTAACATTGGATGAATGTTGGCAAAGGAATGCTTTCTGTCTCAGTTTATTTGAATAGCTTGTGACTTGACGGGGGACTGGATGATTTGTGATGGACCTATGAGGACTTGTGACGCAGTCAACTGACTTTGACTGAAAATCCACAGTACATTTAAATCAAACTGTAAAATGTGTTCAGTTGGTTCGTTTGTGTACTCACCTCTGTACACGGATAAGCGCCAACCGCCTCCACAGATCTGGTCGCTGTTTCCGGTGCACACATCTTGACAATCGGAATCCGGCTCTTCACCGTGTTTGTCGTAGTCGTTATTCCCACACCAGCATTCCTGCGCGTCTTGCAGTCCCGCATATTTATACTCGGTAGGTTGTAAACAGTTTCTGAAGCAGCGCTCTACCGACTGTTCATTATCTATTGCTGGACCAACCGGTAGGGCACGATCACTAGCGTCCCCAAAACATCCCAAATAGCCAGGAACTGGACAAAGAAAAACAAATTTTGAAAACATAACTCGTATACAACTTTACGCGTAGAGTACATCAAGTACGTCAAAATGTCTTTAAAGTGTCACCCCAGTAAATACAAGCTGTAGTTAGCTTGAGCACTAACTTCAAATCGCTTTATTTACCAGCAATGTCAGATGCTGATGGTACGATCGGGCTAATCCCCGATGGCCATTTCTATTCTTTTCGATATATTTTACTCTGCAGTTTTTCTTTCGTGGAATGCAGCCCATTCAACTTGAAACTTAATATGAACATCAACCCAGATCTCACAAATGCAAGAATTTTCTTAATCTGCTTATTGGATACTAATCATAACACCGCTTATGGACTTATGAAAATGAAACAGTGAGTGATCATTTTTGAAATGGACGCTTAATTTAGGACAAAAAATTTAGGACGGAAAAAATCAAACACTTTCGATCTCAGGCTGTGCGCCGTGGTCATATACGGCTCGATGTGGCGGCTGCCTAAGGCGCCTTTACATGCCTGCGGCTCAACCACGTTGTAGCCGCGTCCTTCGCAATTCAGCTTCTCAGCTGCGAGTAAGGATGATAAGCATCCCAAATTATTATTATTATTATTAACTACAAAACCGGTGGTATAAAACAGTTTCGGTTTTTTTTCAATAATGAACCTTGAAAGTATATTTCCCTAGAAACCTTGAGCGCTCCCAGATCAATGTTCAGTATATGTCTATTTTTCTTACCGGATCCATCTATATAGACAAGACAGCCAAGAAGCATCAACAAGATAGCTATCCAAGCACGGAGCATCTCTGCAGAGTCATAGCATACAACAACCGATGCAAACTGAGGCCAATTTTCAACAATCTTCAACAATTTTTACGCTCAATGTTTTGGAAACTATAATGATTTATGACAAGTGTGCCCGTTTCGCACAATTTAATTAATTTCGTCATGTTGAAGTGTCACCGGCGGAGACTAAGTAGGGCGTGAGATTGGAACCTTGGTTTTGAATTAGTCGTAGATCGTCCGAGTTATCAGTAAAGAGAACAATAACGGCACTTGCCGCCGTTGACTCTATCTCGTCACGGTTGCCAATGAAGAAACAACAAGTTTATGGAGAGGCTCCGTGCTACTGGTTTGCTCCGTGTCGCTCGCCGTGGGAACGTACTGCAACAAAGGGACCCAGCCTTGGGCGATAGATGAAAAGTGACACGAATAGCCATCCATAACTAATTTGATAAGAAACGAGATTATGAAAACCGACAATGATGAATGACTTGCGTCTCGGCAACTTTTGATAACCCAATTAGTTCAGTGCGGTAGTGCCATTGGCAATTAGTTGTTTGGAAGATTTTAATTAAAGTTCATTGGCCTTACGACTAAGCTAAAATAGGAAAATCGAAGTGGACTGATTAAGACCCGTGTGCATTACGCGTACAATACGATAGGTAGGCAACTTTCTTGGGGTAACATCTGTGTAACATAGTGTCTTTGCGTGAGCGTTATCAGGCGTCGTCAGCAGAGCATTCGAATGTGTCAGCTCCAGTGGTCTCCCCAACTCTCCCTTTCTTACCGATGAGGGGGTACTCACGGAGCCCATTGCATCACCAACAAATGCCTAAATGTTAGATACTTCTTTTTGCTGATTCATTGTTTTTTCATCACATGACACTATGGCAATGAACGAACTTTCTTACTATTGTTTTCAACTTGAGCAAACTTTGAGTTCACAATTGGCAAAGAAAACGCTTTCACTGAACAGTGTCTTCCTATCACAACAGCACTTTCCAATAAAATTAACTAAAAAGGGATGTCACAACAGTTTTCATACATTAAAGAGGAGTAGAAAGGTGCACAAAATATGTTCCCAAGTAAAATTCATGCCATGGCCCCTTTAAAATAATTGCTATAAAATACTAACCCCCAAATCCATCCATTTCTGAAAATTACAGCAAAAGCAAAATGTTGTATGTATTTCATTTAATGGAGAAATATACAAGTCAGGTTGGTTCCAAGGATTTGGCTCGGGCGATGAAGTCGACCTCAGTTGCTAAATGGCTTGAACACAAAGATGATGCCGTGTTGAAATTGGTACTTGATGCAAACAAAATTATATCACGGTCAATAAAATGGTTTAAAATGGAGTCCCGTGCTCAGTTTTACTGGGATAATTTTCTACATGTAAGCTTGGCCATTATTATGTGCGGCGCATAACCAGTTAAATAGATTACAATAATTGCATCGCATATTCAATTACACATGTACGCTGCGTAGGCCTGTAAACCGATTCTACATTGTGTGATCTTCGCTGAGCATAAGTGAGTAGCATAATAATAGACTGCACATTGAACTACTCAACCATTTTAGACAAGGATATTTCCTTTGTATGCAATCTTTAGAACAGAATGTTTGTTTATTCTGACGGACTAATAATACACACGCACTTTTGCTCACTAAAACAGGTATACAAACTCAAATGTAGCTGGTCTACAATATAATACTATCATACATCCGGTGTCATATGAAAATCAGACTCTTTTTTCCCTTTTATTGGTTAAACCCTCTCACGTGACCGGTCCCTCTCCTAATTATCTATGCATGAGCATGCGCGATACCACCAATGAGTCCGTATTTCATAAAACCTAAATTCATGCTACACCGGCATTCCGGCTACTGTGAAAAGAAATGTTATCATTTAGCTGTAAATTTGCAAAATGACAGAATACAAAAAATATGTGACTCTTTTTGTCCTGAAATTAATGTTCCTTAAATAGCACTGGCAATTTTAAAAAAAAAAGAAGGCAAGGTACTAGGGTATTACCTTAGTCCCTCGTTACCATGGAATTGCAGATACAGTGATTCCTGCGGGAACAAACCCAACATCAAATGATCTGGTAATTTTTCAATGTTCACATTATCTTGAGTAAAGATCCGTAACACGGGGAAAAAAATTAAAGAATATAATCATTAACAAGTAAGTATCAGCAGGGCTTACACACCTTCCTTGTTTGACTCACGGCATATTGAGAAATACATGAAGTTCATCGTATTTACGCTAAGCTAAAACCATGTAGGAGTCCTCTGAAATGAGAATCAGACTCCAAATTAAGTAAAACTAGGAGTAGTTGGACGTTATGATAAAACGAAGCAGAATATAAAACGAAGTAGGATTTATCTAAGTACTGAAATGAAATTTCTCAATCAATAAGCTTATCATCACTTTGCCGGCCATGAAATTTCCTTTTGCGTTAAACATACCAGCTGTAGATATTCTGGATCCAGCAACAATTTTAAGCTCAGAGATATTGTTAATCTTAAACTTATGTCTTTAATTACAGATATCATTTCTGAGGCCTACATAGTACCCTTAAAAACAAAACTACTCATACAACAGAAATACTTCCATAGTGATTACAGAATGATAAGCACACGATGGAGACAAATCAGTCTCTACAAATTGGTGTGAAATAATTCCAGAAGCAAAGGTTTGTCACGAATAGTCTTAACAAACCAGCGACATTAAAATACTTAACGAAGCCCTATTATATCTAATACCTTTACATCATAATCTCAATGATCCTTGCGAAGTCATCTTAAATTCACATAAGCTATAGACCCCTACATAAATGTAGATGAATGCTTTTTTACCATACATACATGAACGCTTTTTTTTTTAATCCTCCTGTGTAATAATAGTAAAATACGATGTATAATTATATCAAAAGTAAGCAAAACAAAAAACCAAACTAGTTCTTGAATGGCAAAATATTAAACCCAATATTGAAAATAGTTCTTGCTATTAAACTTGAAGAGTGTTAGTCTATAGTTATTAAACATTGGCGGCGCCTCAAGTTGTGAGAAATAGCATAGGTCTATACCGTTTATAAATTACAAAATGCAGCATTAAACTACTTAAACAAACGTCTTCGATTCCCAATAGACGTTATTCACAAGAAAGACATTTTTGATCGTGATCCTAAATGTATTTTGTAAACTGTAGCTCTTCATTGGCATGTGCAAGACTATTTATGCGGTCTACGTTTCACTTTCATTTTTTTTTAAATGTGGCTTAAAACATTAGGGTTTATTAATTGACACATTTTAATTTCATGTATTCGTCAGAGTAGACTGGTATTAATTGGAATTTACTTTAATTTTTATTCGCAAGTTCCAAAAGTGAAGATTTTACCTCGTTTTCAATTTAATATTACCGACTCATGAATAACGCCTGTAGGTCTTGTTCCCTTACTCCATGTTCTAACCTTTATAATTACAGTCTTTTAACTTAATCACCCCAGACCGGTGTAGTACACTGAATTAAACAAACATAATATAAGCGCAAACCACCACGTCTTACAAAAATATATCCAAAATACTGCATTAAACATCGCGTAAAGGCTATATTCCTGCGTTAATATTATAACTCTATGGCATCGCGTAACTACTCGGTGCGCATTTCTTGCTTCGCTCTATGCTTCGCGCGTGTTGAACTAGGTCACGTGCTGGAGGAAAGATACATTTAGCTCCGTTACTTTACGTTAATTTGTTGTGCTATCATTGATCTCCATATACACAGAATGGCGGAGATTTATCGCACAGTGAATGGGCGCGTGTGGACGCGCTGCCGATCTAGTCTTTTTATTAAGGGAATAAATGTGTGCTCCGGAGGTTTTTATCACTCTGTTTAATACCACTTGGAGTCTGGGTGCTGATAATTACCCGAGCCGGAGGCGAGGGTAATTATCAGCACTCAGACTCTAAGTGGTATTAAACAGAGTGATAAATACCGACGGAGTACATATTTATTCCCATTCATAAATACCTTTTCGGTAAAAAAAAATCATATAATTCGTTCAAAACATCCCGATTTTGTTCAACAAATTCACTTTATGCTTTTTGAAACATCCCTCCTGCAAAATAATGGAGTGTTCAGCTGGCGAGTAGGATGAAAACAACCCTTTTATGGAGATTGACGCGCGCGTATCATGTTCTACGAGATGTCGCGCAGAACGCACCTGGCGCGTTGCGTTTTGAATTTAGAACTATAAAATTCTGAATTTATGAATCTATATTCATAAATACCTC